AAGAGAAAAAAAGAAAAGCCAAACGCCATGCCTGTAATGTCGCGAATTCAACTCCATGCTTCTCACTCACACTGCCGTCAACCATTCAGATCTTGGCCTCGTCCTCATCCATGAAAAACTTGACAACCTGCTTGAGATCAAAGAGGCTAACGCCGCGGCGCGGGTAGCACAGGTACACCTGCTCGCCCAAGACTCCAAACTTGTCCCTGAACTCAGCCTTCTTGCCGAGGCCCAGACTTTTGACGATGCCGGCATAAGTCTTGCTGAGGAACTTAGCCCTGACACCGTGCAGGTGCTCGCCGGGAATGAACTTCTCGCTGACGCCGGCACCAAAGGTGACGGGGCCGGAGATGGATGAGAGCGCATGCTCGACAAGGACTTCGATCGTTCCATTGGGAGCGTCGGGGAAGTCGAGCGCCCACTTGACCTGCCATCCGTACCGGGGCGCAAGCTGCGCGAGCACGACCATGCACAGGACCTTCCCGTCCTTTTCGGCGGCGAAGTAGCGGCGATGAGCTTGGTCGATCCAGGGACGGATCTCAGTGAGATGGACCTGAGTCTTTCCCTTGCGCTTCTCCTTCCAAGCCTCGATGGACTGATCGGCACGCCTCATGAAATCTTCGTCAGGCTTGAGCTCATGGACCTTGATGCCTTCCTTCTTGACGCGGCGAGCGGCGCGGCCGTCGGGCGTGGTGTGCTGATCGGCGTCGGCCCGCTGCTCTACGGTACAACTCATCGTTCGCCAGCCGATGCGGCGCCCCAGAATTTCCTGAACCTTGTTGGAAACCAACATCCACACGGGTGTCAACTTAAGCTCGTCTTTGACGAAGTCAATGAAAGCTGGGATGACCTCTTCGTATTGACCACGGTCGCAGAGAGGGTCTCCTGTAATCATGGCAAATTTGCCGCGCTTGACATAGCCAACCGCGGCACCACTGCTGTGTCGCCATAGTTCGAACCTTTCGTCAAGCCATGAAGTGTTGCTAGCATCGCCGTAGTTGGCAATGAGTTCCTCTAGTCGTGGCATTTCCTTGCCAGCCCAAGCCTTGGTGGTGTCGGCATTCGGGTGTGGCAGAGCGAACGACCGCATGGGCAACGACTTCGGATCGCGGTAAAAGAGAGTGCCATATCGTACGTCTCCTAGGTTCAAGAGAAGGAACACAACACGATCCAGACCAAGACCAGCACCACCATGCGGGGGAGCACCAAGGTCGAAGGCTTCCAAGTACTCGGCCATCTCGTCTTCCGAGATACCCTTGTCGGCCATGTTCTTGCGCAGCTCTGTCGGATCGTTGATGCGTTGGCCTCCGGTACAGATTTCTTGCCCGCGAATGAAGATGTCGAACGAGTTGGTCCAGAACGGATCATCTGCCTTGTGTGTGTAGAATGGGCGGGCATTGGCGGGGAATTTGTCCAGGATGTAGTAGTCGGTTCCGTATTTCTGCTTGACCAGTTCACCCAGCCGAATCTCATCCGGCGTAGAAAGGTCTTCTTCGGAAACATCACGGCCATCATCACGGAGCATCTGCAGTCCTTCGGGGAACGGAATGATGGGTGTCTCGTCCAACCAGACTAGGTCTTCGCTGGGGAATCGCTTACGAATGATCTTTAGTTCGGGCATCGCCTGAACGGCCGTGAAGATGTTCTTGAGCACTTGATCAATGACTCTGATGAGCTCATGATAGTGCTTGTGGATCTTCATCTCGATGTCGAGTCCGGTGTATTCGGTCAGATGGCGATGCGTGTTGGAGTTTTCAGCTCGGAAAACGGGACCGACCTGGCTGTGTAAGTACATGTCAATTAGACGGCCAAGATAGAATCACTTACTTCGTACACCTTTCCAAAGTCTGCAGAGATGGCCATTTGCTTTGCCAACTGGGGGCTCTGCGCCAGGAATGCGCGCCGTCCAAAGTAGTTTAGTTTGAACACCTCGGCACCGCTCTCGGTGGCGGCTGGCTGTAGCTTAGGGGTTTGGATCTCGATGAAGCCGCTGTTATCCAGTGTTTCGCGAAACTTGCGGGTAATCATGGCCCTCACGCGGAAGAGTGCTTGGTTGCTGGGGTGCCTCAAGTCGAGAATGCGATTGTTCAACCTGAAGTTCATGCTCTCTGGTGGTTGATAGTTTGTGAAAGGAGGTGCCTTGGCTGGGTGGAGAAGATGGATGGAGTAGACGTCTACTTCAACATGGTGGTGGTGCGCAGACTTTACTTCCTGTACAGGCTTCTTCAAAGTGCCGGAAACCTGAACGATGGATTCGGGATGCAGCCTCTGGACCCATTTCACCATGTTGGGCGTCGTGTGTGACAACACGCCTTGGATCGTGTCGGTTTGATCGCGGAAGAGAATGAAGTCTAGATGTTTCGAGATGTTCCGCTGAGTATGAATCCTCGCTCGAAAGGTCACCTTTGTGTTGATATCCAGCTTGACAGCCTCGCCAATGGTCGTGAGCTCGGTCGGGTAGTCTCCCTCGTCGCCTTCGCCATAACGTGCTCGAGTCTCTTCATCCTCGGCACTGCGAGCTTGTTCGTATTCAATCCTACGGCGCTCTTCCAATTCACGTTTCTCCTCCTCTTGGCGAAGAAGCTTTTCCCCTCTTTGTTGACGCCTCAGTTCGCCGCTTCGTGCTGGGCTCCGTCCAGTGCTCGACTTGCTAGACTTGCTTGATTGACTAGTGGAACTCGACGCCCGAGTCTTTTCGAATAAAGTCGTTTTGGTCTGGGTCGGTGTCGGGGAGGGCGATGTCTTGGTAGAGAATGAGAACCTCTGAGCTATGCGGGAGAGCGTGCTCGACGAACGCCGTGGAACTTCGTGTTCCGTCATAGTATTTGCTCTGTCGTCCTCGAGGCGAAGCTTGAATGAGGTATTGTCTATGTGCGAGTAGCTTACATGCGGGTGTGAGTGACAACAAGACTAGTTCTTGTTCCAGTCAAGGCAGATAGAGTCGTTTGGCCTAGATAGCTTATACTGAAGATAGTAGGAGACGTCAGGGTAGCTGGAGTGCGGGAAGCAAGGTATAAGACAATGCAGACGGGAAGCGGAAGGGCGGAGGTTTGCGAGGGTGTGAACGTGACCGGGACTAGCCTACGGGACCGAACGAAAAGAAAAAGAGAGAAAAAAAAGATTGATAATGACACAACAGTCGGACTCCGTCATGGTTCATCGCGGCCGTCGAGCTTTCAAGCTCCGCATGGGCACGAGGTTGGTTCTCGTGTACTTGATAGACTTTGAGCGACGTGTACCCGGTACTTGGCAGAGGCAATGAGCAGAGAGGCCGAGCCTCGGGAGATGCGCGGGGCTGCCCTACGCCTTGGCTTGGCTCCTATAAGGTAGGGGAGGGTAGAGGCCGACCGCGCAATAGGTGACCCAAGACGCTTACACGGCATTGTGGCATGGCGTGGATGATGCAGGCTAAGTGGCATTGCGTCTGGGCTGGCAAGCAGGGGAAGATAGGTCTGGAAAGGGCCCAAAGAAGGAAAGCCAAGGTATCTCTTCCTGTATTCTGTACTCGGTGAGAAGCTATTGTCTCGAGTACCGTTTGGTACCTTGGGTGCTTGCCTTTGATGCTGGCCTCCACTTGGAGAACATAAGCGGTCGAGGGAGAAGTAGACTACGGGTGAGCACGAGGGTCCACGAACAGAAAGAAAGAGAAAGAAAACTTTGCCGAAAACATGACGCCTGGCGCTGCAAGTGCGAGTGCAAGTGCAGGTAAGGTGGAGGTACAAGGCCATCGATCGCCTCGCATTGCATCGGACAAGAGCGGCCCAAGAGCGGCCGTGGGTCAAGACTGAGTGAAATCGTCCCGTCTCTTTCCATTCTCTGGAGCTCCAATCCCCGTCAAAGTTTCCTCTCTTTCCTCGAGGAAGCTTCGGCCGTGTGGTGTCAGCGGGACGTCATTGGTTGTGGGGCCAAACGATACGTATTGTTGGTCTTCTGAGGTATAGAAGGTGCAGAGTACCGGGTACATCATGAATTAAAGGCATGTCGAGGAAGGGAGCTTGGGGAAAAGGGAAGAACATCTGGTTGGAAATGGAATGGGAGCCGGCAAGGTCACGGACATCGGCTCCGAAATTCTGCGCGGCTGACACACTCCTGCCATACCTTAAGATACCTTACCTTAGGTAGAAAGGCACCCTACTAAGGTATCATTGTCACTCGTGGACCGTTTGCTCCGGGGATCGTCCCAGAAGCAGGTCCGCTCCTTCCCGTCTACAAGGGTGCTTGGCTGCTTGTCGGGGTTACCATCGTGGCATCGACTCATGGAAGCGGTGCCGGACCAGGATGTAAAACATTATTTACTGCGTAAAAGATGGTCCCATTGGTTAGACTTCTAGCATCGTCTGGAAACAACACAAAGAGCAAGGTAATAGGGACTCAAGTGTAGTGTAGTGTACTGGGTAAGGAAGAGTATGATGTTTTGGCTCCGGCATCCCGGAAACGACGGCCCCACACCCGCACCAAAATGGCCCAAAAACGGCCCCAAAATGACGTCAAAGTCCCTCGGCAACACCTCCCTGGTGAAAGTCGCCGCCTCACTAGCCACCGTGGCAGTCCCTCCTTCATTCGACCTCACATTGACCTCACCTCTCACACACTCGTACCGCAAGCGCAACTGCCATTGACTGAGCTGCACCTACCTTGACTCATTTTTGGTGGTGTCATTCTCATAATGACATCCCATCTCGACACCTTCCTTCCCTGCCTTGGAATCGCACACCCAGCTTGCCGCCTCGGCTGATGTTATTGCTTTGTGATTGTTTGCTTTCGTCTCGGGTGGGTTTGCATGTCTTCTAAACCCCCTAAACACGCGTACAGAGACACACTACCTTGATATTCACCCTGTCCGACAACCGAGATGCTTCATCACCACGACGTCAAACTCGGCCACAGCTACCTTGCCTGTTGATCTTCACCTGAGCCACACCGGCCACATCGACATACCTTACATTTGCATCAGACACACTAAGCCAAGCCAAGCAAAGCAAGGCACCGCTGCCAAGAAAACCCTCCCTCAACGTTAACGACACCTGATGCTTTTCCTCCCACCCGCCCGGGATCCTTAGCTTCCCGCCAGCGGAACACCTTTGCCGTTCCTTTGCAGCCTCTAACCCTCTACGAGTCTACAGAATACCAACAGCCTTTTTGCTCAACGACACATCCCGAAGATTCCTTGCGCACCCTTGATTTGTCACATTCTCTCCCATCCTCTCATCTCTCCCGTCCCTCTCTCATTCCCTCGACCTATTATCAATCGAATCCGTTCCGACACACCCGGTACATCACTGTTTACCTGACCCTCTCACCGCTTGCAATCTTCTGAGACATTTGATTCATTGTCCGTTTGAATGTCCGATCGCCCCCTCGTCGTTGCCTGCCAGCCTTACCAATACCCACTAGTTTAATCCTCCTGACTCCCGCACGCGCTCCGCGCAGTCCGTGTTCCCGATGCTACAGAGCAAGCTTACTCGCACCATTTCCAACATCTCCAACGTCTCTAAAGAGAGTAGAGCCAGTAGGAAAGAACGAAAGGCTGAGAGTAAGGTCGCGAGCAAGGCCAATAGCGTCGCCAGTAGCATAGCCGGCGCTTCCGACGATGAGTACGATAATCCACTCGAAAATATCGCACGATGGCGCTTGACGGCCAATGCCGTTGCCCTACGCTCGGGGGCCGCTTTTGCCTTCGGCCTGCAGAACCTGTCCGCTCCCGTCCCACCGGCTGCGGATAGAGTCATCTGGCTAGATTCTACCCTCTCAGAGTGGGCCGGCAAGGAGAAGATCAGGGTCGATGTTTATCTTCCTCCCACAACCTCCTCCAGCAAACCCACCGGCAAGATCCCTGCGGTCATCAACTTTCACGGCGGGGGCTTCATCCTCGGCCAGGGCACTGATGATGCCCGTTGGGCTGGTGCCGTAGCTACGGCTCTCAATGCCGTCGTCTTCTCCGTGAGCTACCGTCTGGCCCCGGGTTATCCCTTCCCCACACCGGTGGAGGACTCCGCCGACTCTATTCTTCAGATCGTCGCACGTGCCGAAGATTTCCGCATCGACACAAACAAGGTCATTCTGTCGGGTTTCTCGGCTGGAGGCACACTGGCCCTTGCCAGTTGGAACATTCTCCAGGACCCTAATCGGTGGGGATACAGGTTTAAACTACCTGTTCCCGACATCTCCGGCATAGTCTTGTTCTACCCACTCTTGGATTGGACCATGACTAGGCCTCAGAAACGCAAGACATGTGGAAAGCCAGAAATGACTCTTCCCAAAGGCATGACTGACCTTTTTGATGCGTCGTACATATACCCGCCCAGACCAAGGTCCGAACGTGGTGACCCGCGTCTCTCACCTGGTCTCATGACAGATGAGATGATAGATCGCCTGCCCCCCGTACACCTGTGTATGTGCGAGCACGACATGCTGCTATTGGAGGGACAGGCCTTTGCGGAGAGAGTAAGATCCCGCGGTCGCCGGGTCAGCACACGTGTTGTAGAGGCTGAGAAGCACGCTTGGGACAAACCTCCGCCATTCGCGCCCAAGGAAACGGTCATGGTTGAGTACAACGAAGCCATCACAGCCATTGAAGAATGGTTTGATAATACAGGGATGACTTGGAAGTTAGAGTGAGTATTAGATCACCTCTTGGTGCGAGAAAGATACCTCAGAGCTGTATATTGATTTCCAGATGATTTGAGCGGAATACAAACCTAATCATGAGCATAGACTGGGAAGTCTTCAAGGCATCCGTACAGAGCTGTGTCACGTTACATTCGTGAGCAGAGGTAAAATTGAATGCGCGCCTCAGTATTCCTAGTGACTTTTTCAGAGTGATAAAATAAGATGACGTTCGAAGAGGGCAGTGAGGTTCTGGGTGACGTTGGAAAAAATAACCTTTTAAGCCACCTCGCCAAGATGATTGATTCGCGGAAAGCCAAGCCCAACGTCACGCGTACGCCGCTGGATCTGCCCATTTGACTTACATCTCAGGACTACGGGATGCTTGTGGCTCGTCTGATTTGCTGGGACATTTCTCTTAGAAGTTTAGTGTAGGCTGCAGCGCCCCGCGGCGATCATCGCGGCTTGCGACGCTTTCTTATCTTGACTTTGGAGGTTAGTTTGACCAGAGTACTGTAGTAAATATGGATCGAGAGCTGATTGATCCCATAGTAGATGCCAAGGAGATATCATGAAGGTGGCTCGGTGAGTCTTGGGTGGTAACGTTGATTTCTTGATGATAGATCCTGGATTGATCTTCCTCTCGCCAGCTGCGCTTTTGAGATATTGATAGATTCATATGTAGAATGTGGCGACTTGAGGCTGAAAAGCTCATCAATAGCACCCATTCTACACTCGACTGACTCAAGAAACAACTTCACATTCCTTGAACTCAGTATATCTTGCTTTGGTATAAGGCCAATGTTTTTATATGTAGTTTGGTATCACGATATTGGGGATAAGGAACACACTTTTAGTGAGTCGTCCGGATCCAAAGTGATTTGCAGTCACAGCGAGTGACTGGTAATGCAAAATACTTCCCAGACTCTTTCCTCGGTTGAATATTAACAGCATATCTTCCTGTAATTCGCTCTACAGAACCATATTCAAAGTAAGTCACAACCATTGAAATCATATTCCATCATCTGTACCACTAACGCGCGGAACTCGTGAGACACTCAGATGCAAGCGACGATTTCTATTCAACTCTTACAATCGTCAATAATACCTATCAATCAAAAGACATTGACAGATCGAGCCTCAGTTCGCAAAATGAGGTAGGTTGTTGCTCAGAAAACAGCTCAGAAAGTTATTATCAGTCATCCTGTCTTTTGAAGATGTTTCAATTTGATATTGCGATGTTGTGTCTTCGCCAAATCTGTTGATCTGAGCGTTTCGAGATAACAGAACAAATTAGATGCTATGATGTGACTTGATATGCGACCTCCCCGTATCGCGGAGGCGGCAGTTTCCTCCGATGGGGCAGTAAGCCCTCCCCACTATGAAAGTGCTAAGAAAAAATGGTAGTCTTGACGGCTATCGAAGTTTTCGGGACATTGGTACGATGAACGAAAAGTTCCCTTCGCGTCCTCTTGTAGCACAAGATGAGAAAACTCGGTTGCAATACCTATGGTGACTGGGAGCATGTTAATCCGTCTTTGAAAATCTCTCCTCACACGTCCGTTGGAAATAAAGCGAATCCTCAATCATCATTCCATCTCCTGCCCTTCTATCTTTCTTCTTGTATCATATTTACGGCAAGGCGCGTTTGCCCGCCCACCTTGGCGGAGAGGGGTAAAAGGCACCGTTGGGTCGATGATGCGGCGGACGTGGGTTGCGTATGCAGTTACAACTTCCGAGCGGCCGGGCTACGGGGATGGCAGACGCGGTAGCGATCGATTGGTGAGGAAGTCTATCTAGATCCTTGAAGTAATGCAAGCCCGGGGATACTCTAGACCGAATGGAGACACTTTTCCTGCATCCGTACGGCTGGGCATCATCCTGTTTGCACCAACAGATGGAACATCGAAACGAGATCCCTGTCCGTTAGAGGCTCCCAACCGGTTCAATCTTCCTTTAAAGGAGGGATCAAGCCACTTGGGTCGGCTAGCTGATTTCTTCCATTCATTTGCTTTATCTCTTTACATCACGGGTGACATCTATCTCAGCCGCGACACAGGCCCAGATTGTGTGATGCAGATGGCTGGTTCACCTTCATCTCAGCCTACGGCTCCCCAGGACGATGCGGCTGGTGTCGATGCAACTGTTCAAAATGTTGCAACTCCCCCAGCCGCGACCTCTCCACCAGCAGTCATATCCGGACTGGTGGCGACGCCAAAGGCCAACGTCTTGTCGGAGCCAGCCGAGACGACTGAACCAACCGCAACGTCCGAGCCGGTCGCAACACCTACGCCAACAAGTCCCTTGGCAGTTCAAAGCTCGTCGCCGGGGACAGCAGCCACGCCGGCAGCCAATACTCCCGGCTTTATTGAAGCGAGTGACGATGGAGCTAGTGTTTGTTTATATGCCTTTCCTGGACCAAAACGACAGTGAACTAATGGCTTTCCTAGACTGATGGGTCCACCATTGATGAAAGGATGTATGCGCAACTTTCTATCTTGTGTGGTGTTCAAAGCTGATAAAGATTGACACAGAACTAACTACTCCGCGTCCCTGACTTCGAGTGTTGTCGACTATCCGGTCGAATACGGAAGAAGATATCACGCTTTCCGACCTGGATGTGAGTGTAACTTTCGTTGCATCGCTCTTTGCTGCTTGGTCTAATTTACATGGTGTCTTTAGCTTACTCCTTTCCAAACGATGAGGTTTGTTAACAAATCCAGAAACCAACCTCAGAATTTGAAAGACTCTAAACTCATGCAGCGCGAGATGGAACGCATGGACATAGCCCATGCACTCATGGTCAGATCAATTGGCAACAGGCTGTTCCTGGCACCCCTCAGGGCGGGAACTCTTCACCGAGTTTTGGACATTGGGACAGGCACTGGAATATGTAAGAAGAGGAAAAGAAGAACGATGCACCCCATCGGTCTTTGATGAAAAACGATGCTGACTTGGATTCAATGCAGGGTCAATTGAAATGGGCGATATTTTCGAAAACGCGGAGGTTAGTCTCTTCAAGCGGTTTGAACCGGGAGGTGATGCTGATTGGCCAAACAGATTATCGGAAACGACTTGAGTCCCATTCAACCTGGATGGTAAGAAAAAGTCCGGGCCTGCGTTGAGGGGGATGTTATTGACTTAGCAAGGGTCCCGGCGAACGTAAGATTCGAAATTGACGATGTCGAGAGCCCTTGGGTCAACGAGCACAAATATGACTACATCTTTTGTCGATACATGCTCATCTCAATTCAAGACTGGCCTAGGCTTATCAGAAACATGTATGAGTAAGTAGCCCGAGATAGGGTCCAGCGTCAACACTTCTTCTTGGTCGTCTACACCTACTAACCATGAAATGCTTTAGCAACGTCAACCCAGGCGGATGGGTCGAGATCCAGGACATGGATGGGCTGTACTACTCAGACGACGGCACCTACACAGAAGATCACGCCACGCGCCAGTGGAACAGGCAGTACGTTGACGCCTGCGAGGCCATGGGCCGCACCGCCCGCCCGGGCCCCCAGCTCGAAGGCTGGGTCCGGGACGCCGGGTTCCAAAACGTCACGCACCAGCGGTTCAAGGTGCCCATTGGGCCCTGGGCAAAGGACGAGTACTACGCCGATGTCGGCATGTTGAACCTGGTTCAGCTCCTCGACGGCCTGGAGGGCTTCACGCTGAAAATCTTTTGCGGGTTCTTGGGACAGACCAAGGAGGAAGTCATGGTCTTGCTCGCAAGAGTTCGCAAGGAGTTGAAGGAGGGCGCGTGCCATGCCATTTTTGACCAGTACGTTGGTGTCTCCTTTTTCCTTTTTTTTTTCCCCTTTCTTCTTCTTTTTTTTCTTTTTTGGCGAACTTAGACCGGTGTTGAGGCTAACATGGCTGATAGTCACGTTGTTTACGCTCAGAGGCCCTTCGAAGATGAGGAAAACAACGGAGAGGCGCCACCGCCGGTATGAAGAAATTCGGTTCATGGAAGACAAGCGTAGTTCCAATCGAAGGATTACAGGCTACCGCAATAATTATGCAAGACCTCAAGTTATCCAATTCTATGTAAAGTGCTAGACGGCCTAGTCCACCATCGAGCGCTTGGTTTCTTCACAAAGATATGCATTCATCAACTAATCTTCGTAACTAAATTATATCAGGCAATGCCGGCCTGCCGGGGAGAATGTGGCTCCATCTCTACTGAGGTTCGATTACAAATTGACTTCCTGCGGCTTTATGAAATGTGCCTGGTAGAGGAAGATAATATCGTAAACTTTTCTGTTTCCTACGTGATCTACCATCTCATGGTTCTGGCACAGCCTTTCCCCGACCGGGCGCCGATTCAAATTTAGCCTGCCACTTTTCCTCCTGCTTAAACATAGCAACACACTGCAAAGCGCTCGGAGCACCAAAGTCAGGATCGGCGCCACCCTCGAGTAGAACCTATTTGCGGACATGTCAGAACACCATGTCCTGAGCAAAGACCTGAACTGAGAACGCCGTCCGCCCCGGGCATCTCGTTATCGGCGGAGATTCAGTAGGACAAAGCGGCAAGATGATGTTCAACTAACCTCAATAACTTTGTCTTCTTGCTTAAACACCGCCCCAGCAAGCGGGCTCTGCCCCCGATCATTCAACCGATTCGCATCAGCCCCGTGCTGGATGAGCAACTTCACCAGATCCGCGTGTCCGTGGTACGCGGCGAGCATGAGCTGTACATGTCAAGAACGGATTACCCATTAGTAAAAAGTTCTTAACACAATCAAACAAACGCTCTTTTTTTGCCTTCTCCTCTTCTACTCCTTCACGATTTGTAATACGGGCAATCATAAAGCACATACCAATGTATCCCCCTTCTCATTCGTCATGTTCGCCGGCAAACCAGCCGGTAAGGCCTGCTGAAAGATGGCGACGTCACCTTTCCGCGCGGCGTCGTACATTCGTCCTGCGAGGGCGATTGCTTCCGGGGGAAGGGAGGTGGCGCTTTGCGAGGGGTCCATGTTGCACCTAGGGACGCCGGCAAAGGGGCTGGGGATATCGTCAGTTTCGCTCGTGGTGTTGACATGTGAAAGGCCGCAGTCTTGAAGGTTTCTCTGGTCAGCTTGGATTAAGACTTCGCTAACCTTTGGTAGGACTTAATATGGACGTGGTCAAAGTCTCCTCGAAATCGCGGTCAGCCCTTTCAAGAAAGAACTCGGGTGATAATTCAGATACAAGAAACCTAGCGAAGGCAGTTGAGGATCGGAGAGCTGGAGTTGGAGGTTGAAAATGGTGGGGTAGAAATACCGAATGCCGAGTGGATGGATGACGTGAAAGAAAAGCAAGCACTTCATTCCCGGAGCCCCACGCACACCCAGCGGGGAATAGCGGATAAGACTGGTTGGTGGTGGTGGGAACATCTCAACCAATTGGACGTACCTCATTTGACATACGATCGAATCCCAAGAGTTGAACGTTTGTTGCAATTGTCATTCTGTAGCTGATGAAGACTACAAGGGGAAATAGAAAGCGCTTTCAATATGTTAGAGGGAGGGCTGGGGAGCAAAAGTGACGAGCCGTCTTTCCATTAGGTAGACTATGACCGTCACCTTCACGTAGCAACTGCCCAGCTCGCAGCTTCACAAACGTAACAATTCAATTGAAGGCGAAGAAGAGCATAGTCAAAAACTAATAGTTTTTTCCCCCGCTGTATGTTTTTCCTTATCCGTCTGCTCCGTATTACTATTTACACCTCATTAATCAGAGATGAGCCGGTTCCTCCCAATGCGAGCAAGGCCGTATTGTGCCGTGATGTGTTTGCAAAACTCCCTCGCTCAGCGAGACCGCCGGACCGCCGTGTCGTGATGAAACCCCTCCCTATCTATTATAAAGGCAAGGCACATGCCCCACCAGACGGAAGGAGCCAAACACCCGAAGCCAACGTGAAGTAAAAGAAAAAACGCCCCCTCCCTGCGGCTCCTTGCCGTCAAACGGCAGACAACCTCGTGGGAGCGGGCTCGTTGACAAAAGTCTGGGTATCAAACTATGTTTGTACAAATAAAAAGAAGTGAAAAAAAGACAAAACAAAAGATGATGTGTGTGCCTAAACCAACACCCGAAAGACGCCCACCCAAACTCAAACTCCTAGAGTCCAATGTGGTCATATCGTCGTGGGCTCGGCTCTTTGCGCGTGCGTGAACCGCTCATGTTTTCCCCGCCAAACACCCCCGTCTACGCTCTCCGTAGCATATTGTATGCACCAAGTCCATCTAAGTCCTGATGGGCGTGTCTCGTTCGACGTCGAATTCAATCTCTCCCTCATCCAACTCTCCCCTCGCAGCTCTGCGAGCTAAGTCTCTCTCTCCGTAAATTTCAGTCTTGCGCGCTTCGGCCTGTTGCAAGCAGTCGACGTATGTCCGAAACTTGACAATCTCCCGTAGGAGGTAGGCACTCTTGCGCTCCCAGTTTGCCATGGCGCGAATGGCGTTGTTGCCGCGGGGTGTGAATGCGAGCAGCATCGGGCTGCGAAGCTGATTATGCGTCTGAAGTTCGTCTTCGATGCCCTTGACGTAGGCAAGAAGGCTTTCGAGCTGCTCCTCTTCCGGTAGGTTGCTGGGCCGCATGCTCTGCGTCGGTGGCGCCCACTCGGCGACGTGAATCCTGTCACCAGGCAACTTATTACCGCGGCTAGCTGAGCTGTAAGGGCCTCCGGAACCGTGATCGAGTGAAGCAGCTGAGCGGAAGCTCGACATGCTAGGTCGAGGGTTTCCGGCGGCGCTGCTTCCGGGCCTTGAGTTGGAGCGCTGGCGCCCAGTCGCCGGCCCCACGGTTTGTTCGTTGATGGCCGTTACCAGTGCGTTATTAATGATGGCATCGCTCCAGCCGTACTCGATGTTGCTGATGCCGCCAACTAGGGGATGCGTGCTCAAGCGCGCACTCCAGTAGTTGGCTGTAGTGACAAACTCTTTGCTAATTTCGGGGGTTCCGACTTGGAACAGGTGAACAGCGCCCGTGGGCAAGCTGAGGGCCCAAACGTGAGGGCGAGCTCTCGAGTAACCAGGCGGTGGCAGGGTAGATGCTAGAGTCTGTCGGAGGCTGAAGGTGCCTAGGTTAGTAGCATTTTCCTGCCAGTTGCCGCCTCCCACAATGGCTGGACCCTTGGTTGCATTGCGACCGCGACCCTTACGTCCCGTTTTGTTAGTGCCAAAGGAAAAGATACTCATTTGGCCTCTTTGGATGACGGCAAAGACCTCGTTCCAGTGACGGTCCTTGGCCTTCTTCTCGATGCCGTCAAGGTGGTGCTTGTGAATCACCATACCTTCCTTTACCCACGGAGGACCGGCGAGCTCTAGCGATTCGTCGTCGAGGAGTTGCGCGGGTTTGAGTTCGTCGCTCATGATGGACGGCTCCTTCCCGAGACAGGATTCATCATCACGGATGACGGCCTGGCTAAGGGCGTTGGCAAATCCGATGGACTGTTGATAGTCGCCTCCACGGAATGACGAGCTGAGCGAATCCACAGACATCGATGTTTGCGTTCGGCCCAGCGAGAGTTTACTCCACGTTGCCGACGATATTGTAGGGCTCCAAATGGAATTTCCGTCCTCGAAGCTCGTTCGCGACGAAGAGAAGCCCGGATTGCCCATACGAGGTCGTGACCTGCTCTTCGAATTCCATCTGGAAGAATTGGCACGGCCATTTTCAGCTATGCGCCCACGCATAGATGCCTGACTCTCAGACGGGGCCTTACTCAGAACGCTAGGCGTTCGCTTCAGCATACCAATGACAGAGAGGCCGCTCTGGGTGTTGGGCGCCAGGTTCTTGGACGGATCGGCACCGAAGAGAGGTAATCGTTCGTCGCGGATCGAGGCGTAGATGTCCTTGAGGACGACTTCGACCTGGCTTTCCCAGGCTCGCATCGAACCGTCGAACGGTGACTTGACCAAGGGCCCGCATTCGTCGTGGCAGTGGTCTCCGGACCCGTCTCCCTCGTTTCTCGGCGGCGGTCGGAACGACAGTCGGCGCGAAACGAAACGCTCTTCGATCGACGGTCTGGAATCGTCGCCTCCAAGAGCGCTATTGGATTTACCCGGTAGAATGGTCGGCCGCTCAAATGCATCAGGTGCCGCCTCAATCACCGCCTGAGTTATTGTAGTCATGGTATTCTTGACGAACTGACTCCGCGTCATCTTGTGCTCGATGTCAGCCAGGTGCAAATCAGTGTTGAGCAGCATGATTGAGTAGCAGATTGTGTGAATGACGTCTGTAAAATGTTAGTTTTGTGTTTTCTTTGATAATTTGGGGACAACAGTCGCAACATACCGGATGCCTTGAATCCGTGGTTGGTGTTGCAATCACACCAACGCTTGGAAAAGGCAACCAAGATACGATCAACCTGCTGTGTCTCTGCTCTAAAGACAAGGCGCTCGCAGATCAAGCGGAGACTCTGCAGGATGCTCTTGTCGGCAAAGTCATACAGATCCATGTACGCTTGCAAAGTCCTCTGGCGGACGGGGCCTTCTTCACCCATCCATGCAGCGGCCTTCTCCTTCTGGATGAAGTCCTCGTTACCATCATAGATCTTTTGGGCCTTTTGGCGGTCGTCTTCTGTAGGGTCTCCAACGATGAAGTCGGGCTCATCTAGAGGCTTGGTGCTCATAGCCTCAAATGTGCCAAGCACCTTGGGGCTGTTCTCTGTGGTTTCGACTCGAACGCTGGGGGTGCCGCTCATGGCAGACTTGTACTCGGTGGTGGTGGACCCTGAAGCTCGGCTGGCAGACCTAGTACCCTCCATTGGCAAGATTAGTGTTGATTTATTGCCTTCATCATCCGAGTCTGCTGGAGCGACCGCGAGTCTGTTGTTCTTCCTGCCTCTGATGGTATCATCCTTTCGGTCCGAAGTCCCCTTCCGGGACGGAGACGGTTCTTTGCTCGTCTTGCCAGATCTGTGGCTCCTATCTTTCTTTGTCTTGCCTCGCTTCGACTCCGTGTCTGCCTCATTGTCACTGCCATCGATATCGAGGAAAGAGTTATTTCGCTTTTCGGACGATATGGGAGGCTCTGGGGGCGGTCTAGTGGGCGTATCGGTTCGGCGCTCATGCTCTGGATGATAATCATCGTCATCATCACGAGATCCAGGGCGAACTTCTCTTATCCGTGCATTGGGACTCGGGTCGTACTCGGGAGAGAAGGATCGTGGTTGTTCTTCGGCCCTCTCACCATTCGAAGCTGGAGCGGGATCGGAGGTCATTTCGGAGTAGGCAGGTTGCACGGGAGCAGATTGGGGTGTCAAGGGCGTATTTGGCGTCACCGGGCTGCCTTTAAGGTACGGGTTCATAACCCTGCGCAGACTGCTGATTGGGCTGGGCTCTGGTTTCGCAGAAAGCTTGTCTTTGGTGATGGGCAACTGGATCGGGGCCACCAAAGGGGGCATTGGCGGTTCGAGGGTGGCAGCAACTGGCACAGGAGGGACCTCATCGGCGGACACAGACTTCTTTCTGCGACGAAAGAAGGAGCTCGGTTTCTTTTGCAGCACGTGATGATGAGAATGGGATGAAGATGTATCCCTCGAGGGCGGGGTGGGGGCGGATGGCTTCATCTGGTTGGCAACGTGTAGAGATCGATTCCCGGACCTCTGATCAACAGAATCCACAGATGTTGACGACGTTATACCTGTGGAATTTTGCGTCTCGGGCGGGTTGTTGGAGGCATTGCTTCTAGACGAGCCGAAGACTCGCCTGAAAAACCCCGGTTTTTCTTTTGTTTGCTGCGACGGTGCTTGTGTCGGAATCGGAGCTGCGTGCACGGGCTCTTTTGTCTTGCCGTAGCCCACGTGTGGCGCGGGTGCCGACTCAGACTCGAATGCCGTGACGGGTGCGGTTGCTGGCGACGATATTGGCGCAGCTGAAGATGCCGGAACAGATGAAGGCATTGGGGGCACTTCTTCTCGAGGAGTGCTGGATTTGTTGATGTTGTCTGCTCTGCGGGATGTCGACGTGCTTTTAGCGGACCGACTCGACCGTTTGCGTTCGAGGACAATAGTCGGCGGTTCGGACGGCTCCACCGCCACAGTCGATGGTGCATGTGCGGCTGCGGACGTGGATGCGGCCATAGGCGGTTGTGGAATGGTCGCGGCAGGGGGGGTCATGGGCGGCATCATGCGTCGGGGCCCGCCAGGCACCGTAGGCGTCGGCGCGGCATCGTAGTCGTCGGTAAAAAAGGTGTTGGAGAATTCAATGTGCCATGGAGCTCCGTTTGCTTGAGCTTGATGTTGTGTGGCCTGTAGGGCTGGTGGGCGATGACCATAGTCGAAGCTCGAGGATCTGCCACCGAAGCCGGAAGCCCACCTCGTGCTACTGAGAACCTGAGCGTAGCCGGCATCAATGCTGTTAGAGCTACTACTCTTTGTGCTTCCCTTGCCGCCTCGAGAGTGCATATGGCGTTGGGAATTGGCAGTGCTTCGCAGCGGCTCCCGCATACTGCTGATGCGGTGCAGGCCAGGTTGGAAGTTGGAACTACTGTTGCTCCTCCTACCCCGTGAGGATATCCTGCTCGCATCGTCGGCGTCAAAGTCGGAACTGTAGGAGTATGTGTGGCCGGGGCGGCCGCCTCGCATTGATCTAGAGAAACCGTCTCCGTCGGTATCGTATTGGTACTGCTGGGAAGGCTCGTCTTGCATATTTGGTGGGCTGCTGCCAAACGGGCCACCGACTGGGCCACCCATGGAGAACTGGTCGAGAGACATGAGCATGTTGGCCATGAGAGAGTCGCGCGTAACGTTTCGCGGGGATAATGAAAGATCATGGGAGTCGCGGGGGCGAGATTGGTCGGGATTATCGTTTTCTTTATTCGAGGACATGTCGAAGCTGTCGGGCGAATCGGGAGTGTCTACCAAGAAAGAGTCGTCGGCATGGCGAGAGAGAACAGGGCCTCGTAGTGCCCGAGAACTGTCGGATTTGCCCTTGGCGACGGACGAAGACGACGTAGGCGGTGGCGGTCTGTTCCTGTTACTCGGTGGTGGTGTTTGAGGGACTGGAGGCGCAGTCGTAGGATCTCCTCGTGGCACGACAACGGCGGCGGGCCTGTTCGAGAAGGCGGCCGGCGGAGGAGAGGTGTTGATGTTGAGGTCGGGGCGGCGACGACTGGAACGTCTCGGGGTGTCGGCGTACATGGTGCAGGAGGGGGGACGGACGGGTATCGTGGGGTCGAAAAGGGTTTTCAAGTCATTTCCAGATCCAATCCGATCAAGCGCAAGCGCAAGGCGCATATGCAGTAAGGTGCCGTAGTAGTCGCCAGTAGCAGCATCAAGCAGGCCGGCGCCAAATAGATGCCAAGGTGCGGCCGCTGAACAAGAGTCGGGACGCGCCCCAATATTGTCCAACGCGGTTGATCCAATGCGACGCCAGGAGTCAAGCGATCCAATCCGACGGCGATGGCAGCGCCGTAAGAATCAGTCGATGTCTGCCGGCGGGCTCACAGGATTCAGAGCCTGTAGAGAGAGAGGGCCTTCGAGTTTGAACAGCAGGCGGTGGGCAGGCTTGAACGGGCAGACTGACGGCCAAAGTGGACTTCTCAGGCGTCGCAATGTCCACAAAGCCGGGTTCGAACTTCGGTGTCGCGGGTCGGCTTTGTCTCCCGGGGTGAACGAGTCCCAACCGAGTAATGAGTGGCCGAAATGAAGACTCGAGCGAGTCCCCTTTTGGACCCCTTCTTTGGGTCTTTTGGGGGGTGGTGTCAGGTGTTAGCGGACGACGTTGCAGCAATGTTTCTTTTCTGAACTGGGCAGCTGTTCAGGTTGCTTTTTTCTCTGGTGGTGCTTTTGCCGTTTTCCCCCGTTTGGCATGGGCGGGTGGGCATTCAAGGGCCAAGAGTGCCACGAGGAACGGGAAAATGTGCGCGGGAAGGTTTGATTATGTATTAGTATCCGTCGTCGGTAGCGTGTATTCGTACTAGTAGTGGTAGTATTGGGACCGGGTACAGAGTAGGCGAATGTTGGGGGGTAAAGTGACGGGCCTTGAAAGTTGGTACGATGCTCCTAAAGAGGCGATGGATGCTACCCTCAATCTTCCCCTGACCTAGGACTTGCTAGGCTCCGGATGGATGGCGGTGGTCGGCCGTCGACGGGCGAGGGGTGGAGGACGAGGACGAGGACGAGGACGAGGGTGAGGGTGTGGTGTATGAAGTGGTTCACTCGTGTCTTGTGCTAATGACGAAAAAACGGCGACGGTGCGATTGCTAGCTTGGTAGGTATCCGCAGATGCGCGCAACACAGGTCGAGGTTGTGCTGGCAGTGGGCGAGCGCAGGGTTAAGAAGTATTATTAGTTCGAATTGGATCGTCAGAGTATGGACTGCGTGGTAGACATGGATATAGCTGGAAGTATCTGTATGCGGAGACTGGAGTGTACCAAGTCCAAGTGGAAGTAAGTGGTATGCGAAGCGTGGTGTATCCGTACGGAGAATGCGTATGGCAAGGTTGGATGGTGTGCGGTAAGGGACGGTAGATGCAGGTGTGCATTCGTCACAGTTCGGATGTTTTGCGGTGCCAGGGCACGCCGCACTAGGGGGGGGGGGTGGTCGGTTGCTTGGTCGCTTGAAGCACAAGCAGTTAGAGAAGGGAGACGGCGAGACGGGTGGATGGATGATGGATGGACGGGATGGGTTTGTTGACTTCTGGCCTACTTACTGAGAAAGGCTTGCAAGGTCTCTCTACCTGGGAGGTCAAGTTTGTTGGTTTGATAACGAGTTACGGTATTATTGATGAACAACACGCCACGAAACACACGTGGGAAAAGTGCAAAGAAGGAAAAGAAACAGAAGGGAAGAGGAGGAATGGACACAAGCAATCCAAGCTCCCAGAGGGAAGTACACTTGCTACCTTGAATAGCTAATAAGGGTACAGATAGGTACCTGCAAACACCAGCTCCATGGAAGTCAAGGTAATTAAGGTACCACCAGGAAGGTACGGAGTAATTAGGGTCAAGCAAGGCATGACAAGGAATCTCGTTGATGGGCAGCCTAGAAGAAAGACCGGCCAGGGGTTAGAACATCCATGCTTGACAGAAGTTCAGAACACAGATGGGGGATGAGATTCATCATTCGGGACTGCTACGAATAGGAACCTAGTCAATACAAGCTAGAAAATGAACAACGGACAATATCTCAGGCAAGTATTACTGTGGTCCTCCCGACGGGACATGGATGGAACTTGAGACCTTGGCCTTTTTCGCCTGGTATCAACGTTGAATCTCTGCAGAATTTCGGGTTATGGTATCCGTACAGAGAGTCAAAAGGGGATCCGTATTCTGATTATCAGGTAATTAGACGTAACGTCTGTGTTACTGATGCTTTTGCTGGTGCTGCATGTCTTGACTCTTGTGTGTCTCTGCGCGGACCTGCATGTTGGCAGACATTCTAATTACACAGCGCATGCGACACGACATGAACCGAGGTGCCTTGGTATGTACCTACTCCGGATACAGAGTATGGAGTAATTACGGAGTACGGAATTTCTGTGAGGGGATGCAAGTGATACGGGAGATTGAATGCGCAGTCCATGGACGTTCATGTTGGCCTCTTTTCTCGGTCGGTGTTGCGGAGTGGCCCTGTCCCTGTCAAAAAAGTCGGGCGCAGGCAAGAGAAACACCAGACGAGACGATAACAACAACAATATCAATATGCAAGGGAAAGAGCAATAGGGAGCACGGACGCCAATATTCCACATCATCATATCCGATGCTGAATAAGGACGACGACGACGACGATGCTGATATTGATGATGCGCTGCAATCGTCAATGGCATCGATATCCGTCAGACTTTGCCTTAGTCGATATATGTGCGGGCAAGTATTAGGTACTTACCTTAGCTAAGGTAAGGTACCTTAGTCGATGCCCCGTATGGATGACGAAGCGGGTTGAAGAAACATCCAAGTGATCCAGACATACCGGAGGAAACACCAGACGAATGGTCTTCCCTTCCATGTTTTTTTGAGGGCATCCCATGTTCCTCCGCACCTGCCACGCCCACCAGTGGTCTTCTTTCCTCCACTATCCTACATTTCGAGCTGCACTTGCCTCATCCACCTTATCATAAGTACGTATCCGCAACTGTAAGAAACGAGAAAAGAGCCAGCCCATCAAAGCTTCCTCGCAAGACGAGTTACCTAGAAAATCCACAAAAAAAAGTTGAGAAACGTCACGAGCCTTGCGACATGGGGCCAGCACTCAGCAGGACGCACCTTCCATGTCATTTCTCGCACCCGTTGCCCTTGGCTGCTGCTGGGGAACTTGAGGAAAGCACACACCCAAACTGGCCCGAATTGGTAAAGAGCCCCAGGGCCGCTGCAACTGCAGGGGTTCTCCTTTTCACTGCTTTTCGCATTTTCCTTTGCCCCCAGTTGGCAGTGAACCCCTCCTTTCTTCTTTTGTTTTTGGTAGCATTGTTTTATTGGTTTCTTCTCCATATTCCATCACTCTTTCTTTACACTACTGTCTACGCAGTAAGTAGTCTATCACTCTGTTTTCCCGCCTTACCGATACTTGTAATCAAATATACTCACTTTCTCCATCTTGACCGCTCGCGAGGAACAAAGAAACAGGCGCTTCGTCTCAATCTCTCTCTGCAGAGCACGTCCTGTTCTCTCTTACCGCCCTCGATCCCACCAATCATTACAATGCTCATTTCCAGAATGACATTGGGCCCTTCCAAAGACAACCGCTTCGCTTTCGCACCATGGATGATGGAAACCGAGCCAGATGAGCAATGCAAAAGAAACAATCTGCCACATCCATCATCGATATGAACCTGTCGCCGTTGACCCTTAGACTGGGGGAGCCTACTCCGTACGCCACGGCAGTGGAGGATCTGGACGCCGTCGTGGCACCCCAAAACACGGCCGGCCTGCGAGACACGAGACACCATAAGCGCCAGACACCTTGACACCGCGACCAACGGCAGGCTTGCCGTCTTTGACTAGCCTCCTTTTCTGACGGGCACCACCCTGCGCTGTCCCCTCCAATCCTTCCTTACCTTCTTCCACCACAAAGACCAGAAGTGTCCAGAAAAAAGGGACAAGAGGAGACAGGGCTGCAGGGGTAATGCAAGATGCATCCATCCCACCACTGCTCTTGTCCCAAAGGAGAAGCCAATCCCAAGGGGATCCCAGCCACCACCGTCGGCCTTTGTGAAGCCGTCGCCAGGGGCTAACCGTCAATGGAGTCGTCTTCCACATCGCTAGCTGGCTAGCATTGCTCATGGCGGATGGTCATTACCGATACGACTTCAACGTGCTGCGGGACCGACAATGTTTGTCTATCAAAACGAACATCGACGGATACCGCCTGGGTCTCTGCCAGTGCGTTCTTTTCTGGGCCATCCCTTGACGACAATCCCACCTCACGATGCGGATACTTTGACACCTCCGCGTTCCAAGAAGAATGCTGTCCATCCTAGACCAGGACAAGCAGTGACCAGCAAAAGCTGGATGGATGGTGGATCAACTAGACCAACAACGCACACACATCTCAACGTCAGAACCAAACGCGATTGCAACTCTCGCCATAACCAAGACAACTGTCCGGGAATCCGCCAGCTTCCCTTTCACAACGAACATGGCATATCCCATTCGTTGAATCGTCTTATCGTGGCTATTAATGTCGCGGGCTTGACATTTGCCTTTCTTCCCGCTTCCGCTACCTCGGCCGCCCTCGATCCAATCGCGTTCATTCTCACGCTACAAACGCGCCCACTCATTTTCGCCCACTTGGAAGCACATGCAGATACCCATGGGCTTCCCCTGAACTGGTGCAGACACCAACTTTTAGCATCTAGAGGCCCGTGCCAAATGCAGGATTGCGCCACCTTTTCCGCCACCCACCTCGTGCCCGTCGCTTATTCGCCTGCCTCGACACCCCTCCCGAGTCCCAGGCTCCCACACCTGACGGCCTGCGAGCAGAGCGAGTGTCCATCGTGGGATTACAGGACGACGGGATGGAACATAGTCTGTGTGTCCAGGCCTCGCGGGCCTGTTATGCGAGGGACCGGCGAGCACCACGAGGCCATACCCCTCGCTACCAAGTTATCTACGGTCTTTGCGACCTTCTTTGGAAAAGATGTTCTTGTCGGAATCATGATTCCAGGAGCCTCAGGCACTCAGGACCCTCATATTCCACTCGAACAATGTGACAGATCACCGCAACAGTATCACCCACTGTCGTTTTCCAGCAGAGACTCGATAATGAGACCAGGCAGTGAAGCACTCTCTCATCTCAAAGATCTGCTTGGCCCCCAAATGCCGACGTCTTATAAACGAGGGTAATTAATTGTCCGTCGTTGGACCTGCAGGTCTGTGACACCACCACCCCTTTTGACGGCGGAGTCGAGGCCGACGCGTTGCTGACGACCTGGCTCAGTAATGGAGGTCTCGCGCTCTACCAATCGCTTCGCTCCAGAACCATTGGATATCCAGAAACTTTGCACTACAACAGACGCTGCAACGCACCGCTTCCGTACGGGCGTCGATGGCTTAGTGTACAAGCAGGCAAACAGTTCGACGGGAGAAGGTATCCCGGCATCACCAGTCCACCACACCACCACAAGCTGCATCTCCCCGCGTGATCGCCAGTCAGTTCCAATGACATTCCAACGGCTTTGCTTACAATCTGTACATCTGCGGAACACGACCTTCTCCCTGCTTCACTGACCAACAGTTCCCCCTTCGAGTAAGGGCGGGCTCGGCCCCCATTCCCACTCGCATCCAAGCCCGCCTTTTAGCGACTCAATCTCCAACACTGGCGGCCCCCATCCTGATTGATGTTCGCGCTAAACTGACAAAACCTAAAACACACCGACAGAGCTTCCATGTCATCAGTTTCCTTGCCGCCGTGCCAGTCGGCGTTCGTCAACTAGACCCTCACGACCCTTCTTCACCTCCGACGTCAAGTCAAGGGTGTCAAAGCGCAACCTGTTCGCACTCCACGAGTCCACAGCCTGCCTGCATGACGAACATTCTTCGGCGGATCGCTTAAACGTCTCCAGCTTTTGCCCCTTCGCCGCGAACCGGCATTGCGACGGTGCGTGGGTGCCTCCAAGGGCCCCCCCTTCTTGGCGTGTCAACCTTTCGCGTCCAAGACCGAAGATTTCTCTCCGTCAGCCAATCTCATCAAGCCAATTGGGGTTACACGATGGTCACAGCCCGAGAATAGCGCGTGGTTTCGTGAGACTAGAGCAGCTTTCTAAAGTCTGACAACTCGGGTCACTCTCCAGAATCTTTCCTTTCCATCTTGCAGCTCTGGGATCAGGATCCTCTTGAAGATGAGCCGGCCCCGTCGATCAGTAGATGACAATCCCTCTCCAAAATCGGCCGACAACTCGAATCTTGCAATGCGTTTGAAGCGAGCTGCAACTCTCCAGATCATCTCGGCGAGCCACCTCTCCGTGTCCCTCGAAACGACGTCGCCTGCTGTCAGCGCCGTATCTTCGGTCCTCGCACGTCCGCGGCGACCCCCAGTACAAGGACCATCCCAAGTTCGGTCCCAAGTCGGCGACATGACTTATACACCTTCCGGCTTTGCGCATTGCGTAAGTTGTACATACCCGTCGTTACATTGTCGGTCCCCAAATCCGTAGGTGGATAATACGTTCTGTGTTGGCCTCTGTAGTTTAGTACCCTAGATCAATTCATGTTACTGTCGTTCGAGTGAGCTACTGTCTCAGCAACGAACACACTCTCTGTTTGCTTCATTCTTATTCGCTCCTGTTCACTTGACGAAGTCATCGAGCTCGAAGATCAATTCAACACGAGCGAGATGATCATCACCGGCACATGAGGACTTTGGCCGAGTTTTGCTTACGGCTGCAAGTCTGACGTGGATGACACCACGCCGATGTGTCAGTGCATACGGACACGACGGGATCTCGTGTCGCAACGCAACCGAGTGGTTGGATTGTCGTAGTGGTACTCTGAATCTCCGAACCATCAGGATAGGCAGCATCGTGATTGGATGTCCTACTTGGTCATACGCTCAGGCTTCATCTCGAAGGCTCTCATTTCCGCCCTCGAGATGACAGTTACTCTGTGGACGGGTGAATGCTCTGGTGACTCTCCAGATCATGGTTGAGCCAGCATGTTATGTCTGTAGGCTTGAGGATGAGTCCTGGGACAATGGGCACTGGCAATAGGAACCAAGTAGTTGTCTGTAACGACCGATGTATATGTACTGACTTGTGTCTAGAGGCTGAATTTGAGTTGACAGTGCGTGTCTCTCCACCTCAATCATACTACGTAGTCCGGATCACATCTTTCTAGATCTGCATTTGAAATATTGCGAAGCTCATAGCTAAGAAGTCTCTCACCCCGGCCATCACTATTTCTTATAATACTGCGTCATATCATGAGCAAGCCCCAGTATACCCTATGCGTATTCGCATATCAGATCATCACTCCGCCAAAAGCTATCCAGGAGGAGATAAGGGTAATTGAGAACAAATAAACATACCAGCTGGAACGCGACGGCAGCCTCATCAGTCTTGTCCGCCCCCCGCATGGCGACGATCCCCGGGTCATTGGTCTCAACCTCGTCCGGGTCCGAAGTCATCCTCTTGAGGTTCGCCTCGGAGACCGGGTTCGTGAACTGGTTGAACTTTTCTCGTCGGTAGTGGTCGTACTTGTCGAGTATGTCGTCGTCGGCTTGGCCGTCGTGGATGCCTGTGAGGCAGTCGAAGAGGTCGCCTACATCGACGATGCCACCCGTGAGGCCCATACCGCCGCTGGGGAGGCCGAGGGCCGAGAGGTTAGATAGGTGCAACGCAAGAAGATCCTCTTCCTCTTTCTCCCCCGTTGTCTTCAACATGGATCACAGTTACGAAGGGCACTTACAACGGGTTACACAAGTGCGCAGCATCCCCAGCCAAGATGAACCTCCCCACGCGCATCCGCGGCGCGAGCTGCTGGTGCACCTTGTAGGGACTAAAGTTGACGATCTGGTAGTTGTCCGCCTTTGGGTTCCCGGGTAACATGGTTTCGTATTTCGCGGGCTGGCGGGCGCGGTACTCGTCGTGACTGAGGCCGGGGACCTCGCCGTAGCTGACGCGCCAGAGGCCGTCGTCTTGGATTTTGGCGGCCATGAAGTAGTCTGTTGGGTGGATGACAAAGTTGGAGTCTTTCCAGCCGTGTTTTTCAAAGTCGTAGTAGACCTTTATTGCTCTCTGGTTAGCATATTTTTCTTCGCCTTCCTCTGTCTCTTTGACTGTTCAAATTTCTCAGGAGGCAGGAAAGGGGGTGCTTTCTACTCACATTCGTTGCGATGATTTGCAAGTCCCACGTATACCCAGGAAACTCATCCCCAAACAGCTGTCTCCGGATGATACTATTCGCACCATCACACCCCACAACATAATCAGCTCCCAACTCCTCAACCCCCTCCTCCGTCTTCACCCTCACGACCGCCCTCCCCTCCTCCTCCCGAATCCCCTCAACCTCATACCCCCACCTCACCTCCGCCGCAGGCTCCTTTTCCAAGTCCTCCAGCGCCATCTTACACAGCGAATTCAAGGGCAGACACGAGATCCGATCCGGGTTCTCCACGCCGAGCCTGCTGTTTTCGATCTTGGCGAGGACAGTGCCGTCTGGTTTGCGCCAGCGGGCGCCGCCTACTTCGATGCCGTGCTGCCTGACGCGGGAGAGGAGGTTGGCGCGGGAGAGGACGCGGTTGGCGGGGGCGGCGTAGTGTGTTGCGCGGGGCTGGGTGTCGAGGGAGGTGGATTTGTCGAGGACGAGGACGGGGATGGAGTGCCGCGCGAGAAGGAGGGAGAGCAAGAGGCCTGTCGGGCCTGTGCCTATTACTATTACCTGTTGGTAGGAGGTGTTAGTACTTGTCTGAGTTGGCAGGTTGAGTCTGTTGTGTGGTGGTGTGAATTCTACCTTTTTGATACCATGGTGGTCTTGAGATGCCATTATTGATGAAATGGGCGTGGATTTGAGGGCCTGGGTTTGTTGATGCTTTGGATCAGGCCCCTTGGAGAGAGACAATATACGGGTCTTCGATAGACGTGACTGGGTTACTTGCTACTATTGATGAATACTGATGAATCGGATCTTTGACGATGAGTTATATTTTTTGAGTCGTTCGAGTTTCTTGGCATCAGTCCTCCATGACATCAAGATAGCCTGGTAGAGACAACCCAATGCTCTCCCAGGATCTGATGTCAACCCCCCTTCCCATTATTGAGAGTCGTTGAGCAGAGAATGAGCTATGTGGGATGCCCACGGACGTTTGACTTTGTGGGGTAACAGAGTGGGATGATGTCTAGGGGCGGGTTGTGGTAGCCGCGGGGGAGGGGATGGGCTATGAGATAGCCTGGAGGTCTAGAACGAATCAAGATGAACAGCTACTAAGCTCTCTTTCTGCAATCAGAGTGCATTTTGTGTTCTCTTGGTTGGTGGTGCGAAATGTTTACCTCTCTACTTCGCCAAACCTCTCCCCACATACTCGTGCCCGGAACTGCGGGAGGAGGGTGCGCAGACGAGGTTCTCAAAGCCCATTTTTGGCGGAAATCATTACAAATTCGGTTTCGATGTGGCTTTGATATCAACTCTTATGGTACGTTTGCGCTGATCTCCATCTGCCTTTGCCCAACGAGACCTGTTCCCAATATTGATATGTACCTTGCCTTAATCATTCATACCACCACAATGGACTTTTCCAACATTGACCTCTCCCACCCACCCCTCAACGACCTAACAATATCCAACATCACAGAAAACGTCCACGCCATCAACTCCAAATGCGCCGACGCCCGCACCCGCTTCCTCCTAGAAAAGCTAGTCACCCACCTCCACGACTTTGCCCGCGAAACAAACCTCACCACCGCAGAATGGGAGACCGCCATCGCCTTCCTCACAGACGTCGGCAAGACCTGTACCTCCGTCCGGCAGGAATTCGTCCTCCTCTCCGACGTCCTCGGCCTCTCGCTCCTCGTCGACTCGCTAGATCACCCGAAACCGCCTGGGATCGGGGCGACGGAGGGCACCGTCCTCGGCCCGTTCCACACCCACGAGGCGAAGGACGTCCCGCACGGAGAGATGATTTCGAGGGATGGGGATGGGGAGCCGATGCTTGTTGTTGGGACGGTCAGGGACACGCGGGGGTTGCCGATTTCGGGGGTCAAGGTTGATGTGTGGGAGACGGATTCAAAGGGGTTTTATGATGTTCAGTATGACGGGTACGAGAATCCGGACGGCCGGGCGGTTGTGAGGAGCGATGAGGAGGGGGGATTCTTTTTCCGAGCGATTGTGCCGGTGCCGTATCCGATTCCGGGGGATGGACCTGTTGGGAGGCTGTTGGCGACGTTGGGAAGGCATCGATACCGGCCTAGTCACTTTCATTTCATGTTTGATAAGCCTGGCTATGATCGTCTCATCACGTAAGTTCTCTTTGCTCCTGCTACACGGCGATCACTATACTAGGATCTTGTTGACATGGCTACAGAGCCTTATATCTTCGCGGAGACCCGTTTGAGAGGTCTGATGCGGTCTTTGGAGTCAAAGAGTCGCTTATTGTGGACTTGAAGACTGTTTCGGATGTTGATGGGTTAGCTGAGAAGTACGGCGTGAAGCCGTCAACACGGCTTTTGACCTATGATTTTGTGCTGGTTTCGGAAGAGGAGGTCAGGGTCTTGAGGGAGTCTAAAGTAAGAGAGTCATCCATTAAGCGTGGGATAAGTAGACGATGTTGACAGGTGGGCGTCTCATTATAAAATCGAGATCACATTAGTATTAGGATATTTTATGTTATGATATTGCATTGCCAGTTCTGATCTAGCATTTCACTATCAGAAGTTTCAGAGAACCTCTGCTTAAGCGAAAATTTATAAGATTCCTTTCAAGATAGAAACTGACCGGTATCTAGGCAGGCGGTTTGCCATAGTTTTCTACATTAGAGAACAGAGCTAAGAGACTCGACTTATCTACCATGTATAACCATCTCTCAGTGTTGCCCTCGTTGATTCTAGTTAAAACAGAAGCCTAGTGACCGAAGCATTTAAGTATCAATTGCATCGAAACCAGTGCCCTTGCACATGGTTGTTGTCGTTTTGAATGTTGAATATCTTGCGCCTTACCTTTCAAGTACTAACTTCCGGGCTCGGCCCTCAGCATCAACATCAGTGACAGCAACAGCTCCATACGACCGACCAAGGATTCAATATGCAAATTCTATAGACTTTGAACAGCATTCTACAGTTTAACACAAATAGATCTGTAGGGCAATGCAAAATTGTGACCGCAATGTTCGGCAACTTCCCAAGTCCGTCGCCAAGATCGAGAGCCATCACCCCCTGACAAGAAAGTGGAGTAGCATGTCAGGGGTGGAGATATCCCACACGACATCCCACATTGCCTAATTGGGACATGTTAGTTGATGTTCGAACTTCTCACCCGACCAAGCCATGCACACCAGCAGGAAGTTGATGACTTCATCTCCCACCGGTGAGTGGGGAGAACATGAGTGAACGGTTCTCAAAATGTCGAGCATAAAGAATAGTCGTGCCGATACGATGAGACAAGAATGGAGAGAATCTATAATAGCAAAGGAGTAATTAGTCCAAAGCGTGATTCCCAGTACCAATCAACAACTCTCTCAACCTCAAGATGACGTCCAGCTCTCAAGTCCAGAAAGCTACACAACCTTGGTGGGATGACGGAAGCGAGAAGCACTTCGTGCCACTGGCCCCCGCCGTCCCTATAGACCCGAGCGCCAATACCTGGTCCCGCTTCGGCCCAACCTTTGAAGCCTATGAATACTCGGGCTGGATCGACGAGAGCGTCTCCTGGAAGACGGACTGTTACATTGGCGACTGGTCGCCTCTGCTCAAAGCTCGCGTCGCCGGCCCCGAAGCGCAAGCGTTTTTCGAATCCATCTCGACCAACCGCTGGCCCAATTTCAAGCCAGGACAAGCGAAGCATGCCATCTTCTGCCAGGATAATGGATGCGTTGTTGGCGAGGGCCTAGTCTTGATGCTTGGAAAGGACGATTTCTTGTTCACTGGCGGTCCCGGGACGGTTTGGCTTGTGTACCAATTCCAACAGGGCAGAAAGAGGTTTGATGCCACTCTGCAGCTGGTCACTGATGACTGGTTCCTTCTTCAAATCCAGGGTCCTCGGAGCGTTCAGCTTCTGGATGAGGTGACGGATAAAGGTGTCCGGGATATCAAGTTTATGCATTATAAGGAGCTCTCGATCGAGGGCAGCAAGTTCCTTTGTCTGAGACAAGGTGTATCCGGCGAACTCGGCTTCGAGCTTTGGGGGTCGACGAAGGATGCTAAAAAGATTTATGGGTCCATCGTAGACGCCGGCAAGAAGCACAATATCCGGCAATTGGGTGCTCGCGCAAAGATGGTAAATCACGTAAGGAACACACGCCCCTTCTTCCCAACCAACAACAGCTACTAATACATGCATACCAGGTTGAAGCCGCGTTTGCGACTCCGGCCGCAGACTTCATTCCGGCCGTACACGCGCCCGCAGACGACAAAGAACTTTTGCAGTTCCGGCAATTTGCGCGAGATATCGGCTTCGACTTTGATCACTATCTCTCCAAAGCCAGCGGCAGTCACGGAGCAGACCCCGTCTCCTACCACTTTACGCCATTCGACCTGAACTGGGGCTGGCTCATTAACTTTGATCACGACTTCATCGGACGCGACGCCCTTCTCAAGCTCAAGGACAGCCCACCGAACCAGCTGGTGACACTGATTTGGAACGAGGAAGATGTAACTGACGTTTTTGCATCACTCTTTCGGCCGGAGCCCTTTGAGTATATGGAAATGCCTCGCAGCTTGCTTGGCAATGTTGTTGGCAGTACTGTTCTGCGCGAAGGCAAGACGGTCGGGTGCGCTGTTTCTCGGTGCTATAGCTATTGGTTCAAGGAGATGGTGTCACTCGGGATTATTGCCAAAGAGCATGCCGCTCCAGGGACGGTCGTTGAGGTGAAATGGGGATCTGAAGGGTCTCCCGTGAAAATCATCAGGGCGGTAAGTGCACTAGAGATCGCTTCGTGACTTGGAGAATGTCCAGCTGATGTGGAACACAGACTGTGCAGCCTGCGCCGTACAAAGAGGACAAGAGACGGCACTCCATTCAGAAGTAGATGCTTACACAGGGACTCCCGGTACCGCTGTAAAGGAAGGCAGGTATCAAATGTTGGCGTGAGGGATCTCTGCTCTTTAGTTTTTATCTCCATAGAGAATCTGCTCATATTCTTGTTGCGTCAATACTGCTGACGCAGGATTTGAATATTCACATCATGTCAGTCTCGACACGTCACACACACACACCCTAAAATGACCTAAATCTCCAAATACGTTGTCTTGTCCCTGACGATAGTCCTGCGACATACGATGCTTGACCATTTTGCCATGCGCCTTCATGGCCTTTGTGTCAACGAGAAACGTATTCTTAGCAGATGTAGGACAGAAAGTTGTATAAATTAGCCTCATTCAGTTAGACGCCAAATATTACCCTGTCCACACGGTCACCGACTTCCATATCATATGCGCATGACTTACTCGGACAATTACCCCGCGCGTCATTAGCCTGCAGCGGCCCGCCCGCCGGCCCCGGTTTGTGGAGGCACCAAGGATTGGACACGGAGGCTTAAACAGTCCGTCCTTTCGTCACCGGCACTTTGACCTTCAAACTCTTACTCCACGCATTTGGTGGACATTCAAGCCAACGTCACTCAGAAACGAACCCCTCCAGTTCATTGACCGCGTATCTCGGCTATGGCGTTCACAACGGCTCCTGGCATGTCTGTCATCTCTTTCCGCAAAGAGGCAGGAGTTCAGCACCGATGTCGGATCTGTCCAAAGACGTTTAAGCGAAGCGAGCATCGCAATCGCCATGAGCGAGGCCGTTGGGTTGACCTCTGTGAGAAGTCTGGGATTTCAGCTAAAGAGGATTAGATTCACAAGAGAAGCCGTTCTCTTGCCGCATATGCAGTCGACGCTTCGCTCGCAAGTGAGTTTGTCAGGGCTAGGGTTCCAAACAACACTTCACCACTAACGATGTGTTGCTAGTGATCTCGTTACTCGCCATGAAAAGACTTTCCACCGAGATCATTTGCAATCCGATGCAGCCTCTAGTTCAGAGAAGCCATCCTCAAGAAATGCCCAAGTTGATGAACCAACATCTATGGCCACTCCAAATGAGCAGAATCGGAATTTACAGGGAGGCATAGGAATAACAAATGAGATGTTATCTGAAGGCAGCCTACCTTCGGTAATTGTCGACGGGCCAGACGTATCAGGAGATATTCCTCACTTCGGCTATGACATCATGTCCGATGTCGAGAATTATGTATTCGGCGATATTTCTCTTGAGTTCTTCGATCCATTCCTGGGTAGAACTTTCGATCAGTTTGCTTTTCCAGTATCCGAGACTGCACCCGAGCAGCTTCAGCCACCAGCATCTTTGCATCAAACTCACCTCTCAGGCAACCAAAATAACTCTTCAGACAGGGTTGAAAGTGTTCCGACGTTATCACAAGGACACACCATATGCCAAAGCGCACTTAAGCCTCGACGAAGATGGTCGCCGCGAATACTCAAGTCAACGACAGCAAAGAACCACAAAGTCGTTTTCACAGAAGAGATGAGAGCTCACTGCCTGGCTGATATAGAGTCACACCTCACCAAGGCGCAGCTCAGAGACTTTCAACTTCCACCCGTTACATGCTTGCAGCAATACTTCAACTCCTACGTGGATGCCTTCCATATACACTTTCCCTTCCTGCACCTGCAGAGTCTAGAATTAGAGAAGGTTCCTAGTTCACTAATCCTGGGAATGTGCGCCATAGGTGCACTTCACAGACTTCAGAGAAAGATGGCCTCCTCACTCTATTTCACAGCCGAGCGAGTTCTATTGAGCATAGACTTTGAGCGACTACAGGCTATCCCAGAACTTTTGGATGACTGGGCGAGACCTCGAGACTCACCGCCACCAGATCAGGGACCTCTGGTACTGGCCCAGACGCGGTTCATTCTCGTCTTCTTTGCTTCGTTCAGCGGTGAGCCGCGGTTGATACGTCAGGCTCTCGTCGGCTGCGGCCATTTATCAGCCGTGCGTCTACAGAGTCCGAGACATTTCTTCCATACGCTTACAGATGATTCCAGGATTTTCGGTCAAGAATGGCCCGCGCTAAGCCTGGGTCGATGAACTTGAACCTCTCTCAGTGGCATTCTTGGATCGAACATGAGTCGATAAAGCGGTAAGAGCACATATTCCCGTCGAAGACTTCGCCGCTGACTGACATCATCAAGTCTAATGTGCTGCTGCATGGTTCTCGGTAACCTCCTCGTCATAGCCTACGGTATCGTAACAGGCTTCGCGGCGCTAGAGGAGTGTAACATTGAGATGCCCGCCGAAGATGAGTTATGGGATGCCACGAGTGCGTCCGAATGGAGGTCGTCTCTGGAGAGACGACTGCCTTCTTCGCCCCTAGGTCTTCGCCAAGCAACAGCTTGGATATTTGGTAACAGCGTAGAGGAAGAGAGACTAGACGCAAGCTGGACGTGGTCACCGTTCGCAGCGTCAATCGTGATGCACCAAGTCGCCATCGTCGTCTGGTTCTTCGCCCACGGGAAAGAGGCCTGCTACGGAACGACTCAGAGCTATCGAGAGAGCCACCAGTCCGACGCCAAGAGGATAGAGGCTGCTCTTTCGAGGTGCAGAGACCTGCTGACTGAAACACGCGATGGCAATGACGGCACGTGGAGTGAAGCTGACGGGCCATTGTTGTTTAACGCATTTGCCGTTTTGCGCGTTTCGTATGGCCGAGCTTTCATCAACTTTCGGTCTCTGGACCGGTCGCTGCTCTTCCAGGAGAGCAGCCAGGATATGCTAGTTATCTTGCAGCGCTACTTTGACGCTGCTCAAGAGCGGGATGGGTACATGACCATGGCTGTCGACTGTGCTTTGGAAGGCTTTGCGATACCGATTCGAGCGGGAGTCTTGCTCACGCAAAAGACGGCGGCGTTGAAGTGGAGTGTTGAACATGCTTTGGCGGGATGGGATGCCGGTATGCCTTGATTCTTTCGTGAAGTTTTCGCCATGAACAAGACGTTTTCGTACTGACCTTGTCAGCCCTTCTAGTGACGAAGTGGGTTCATACGGTCGAATGTCTGCAGTCTACAAGTGGAAAGACTACGCCAGAAGAAACGAAGGTCCTCGACAATGTTCGATATCTTCTCGGCCAGATTGACGTTGATCGCTCTCCATCTCGGTCTCTCGCTGCGGATCTTGCTCGTGTCTGGGCTGGACTCTATGACGATACTTGGGTTTGGGGTGGTGAGTATTACTTGAATGCATCCTTGGGTTCCTGTTGCTGAAATCCGATTAACAGTTGCACCACGTATGAGCTGGGTTCTCCGCGAGCTTGCCAAGTTGTATGAGCAGGAAGCTTCAGATACAGAGAGGCAGCAACCAACTTAATATGGTTGCACGTGTCCTGCTCGGCCGTGGTGCCTTCATGTCGTACTTAGGTACTCACCATATGCTACCATGTCAAGGATGCAGAACGGAAAGAAAACTAAGATATTACTGTTGGTAATAAATCCCGCTTCTGACTAGGCAGTACACATTCTCTTTCCATCTCATAGCAACGTCTCCAGCTTTATATAAGAAAGAACAAGCAGACACATCACGGGGCATCTTCTGCGTGTCATTTCTGCTGAAGATAACCCAAGATTGAGTACTCAATGGTCGGCAAGAAAACAAGGAGAGCCCTCAGGCAGGCCCATGCAGCTATCTTTTCTCACATTCAAATTACTTGTCCTGCGATTCCTTGAGGATATCAAAGTTCCATCTGCCCCAGTCAAAGCCCCTCCATCCCACATTGCCTAATTAGGCAATAAAGCCATCCCGCCCTGACAACGACCGTCATAACGTTGACACGAACCTGCGCTAGAACATGCCACCGACATAGTACGAACACTGTTCTCACCATGGAAAAACGTAAGAAAGCCGTAGCTTGAGTTCAGGGATGATGTTGGCTATATAACTAACGCACACTGTGAGAACCATCGGGGGCATGGCCAGCTCGAGACTCCACCCTGAATCCCACCGGGGTGCCTCTCCACGCTCATATGTATATGCGGACTACGGAGTCTAAGAGTGCGGTGAGAGCAGAGTTTTCCATGTTGCAGGGAGACATACATCGCAGTGTCAAGTTCCGATGACATATGCGACGAACTCATTGGACCATGGCGGTCAAAACCTCTGACAGCAGACATCGTGTACGCGGCAGATGCCCAAGGTACCCACTCGATGACATACAGCCCGGCCTTTGACACGGAGATTTTGGCTCTTGGTAGGGACGGCCCTGCCTCTGCATCTCAAGTAGCACTCGGGATGTCGCGGTCTGCTAGGACTCCGATCTATGTTGTATAAGATAAGCTCGAACATCATTATCCTAAACGTTGCATACCAGCTCACGACTGGCTTGGAGCAACTTTACATCAGCAGTACATCTACTACGTAATTCATCAACATGTCTTCAATCTGGAGCGGCTGGTCCGCCACACTAGAGCCGCAGCAGTCAGCTCTTGGCCTGCTCTTTGTAGTCCTCTCCTTGACACTCGCCTATGTCTCCATACCAGGACGCCACGACCACCTCCCCTACATCAACCGGCCCCCAAAGTGGGATTTCCTTGGCCAGAAGACCAAACAACATTTCGTCAGCAATGCCCGAAGTCTGATGGCCAATGCTCGGGAGGCCTTCAAAGGCAAGCCCTACCGAATGTTCACCGACTTGGGGGATCTCATTGTCATTCCGGCGCAACACGCCGACGAGATTCGCAATGAGCGTTCTCTAAACTTCCTCGATGCCTTTGTGGATAATTTCACCCCAACATTCCCGGGTTCGAGGGCTTTGCTTTTGATGGCCGAAAGGACCAGCTACTTCACAAGACTATCAACAAGAAGATCACCAAGATGCTAAGTACGTCTTCAACACCCCGCCTGAGCTTCTATTGCTTACTCAACGTCATTATCAAGATGAGATTACTGCACCACTGTCGCTGGAAGCTGACTTTGCTACGCGCCTGATTCTCGGAACTTCGACAGGTAAGCCACCTTGCCTTCTCAAATGGAACGGCTTAACTCAAAGGAGCAGAATGGCGAGAGGTTCCGCTTCAAGAAGCGCTTCTGAACCTTGTGGCCCGTCTGTCCTCTCGTGTGTTTCTTGGCGATGAACTCTGCCGAAACGATGCCTGGATTACAATCACTGGTTCTTACAGCATCAATACCTTTTCGGCCGCAGAAATTCTTCGGCAGTACCCTTATTATCTTCGTCACATCGCCTGCTACTTCATTCCGCAGTGTCGACTACTCAAAGAACAAGTTGCAGAGGCACGACGAGTTCTGAACCCGGTACTGGAGAAGCGAGAATGGGAGAGAAAGACGGCATTGGCTGAAGGGAGGACTGAACCTTCCTACAAAGACGCGATTCAATGGGTCATGGAAGAGTCTCAGGGCAGTCCTTTTGACCCAGTCGGAGCTCAACTTGGCCTCTCTGTTGTGGCTATTCACACCACTACTGACCTAGCAACGGAAACGATGCTGCGACTGATGGTCAGACCACAGTTGATGGAGGATGTCCGTGCTGAGATTGTGACAGTCCTCCGGAAAGAGGGTTGGACTAAGTCTGCTTTGTTTAACATGAAGTTGCTTGACAGTGTCATCAAGGAGGCGCAGAGACTCAAGCCGACAACTTCTGGTAAGCGACTACTTAAAACGGAAATCTTTCATGTGTTTCAACAAAAAATGACTGATTGGCTTTTAGCGACGATGAATCGGAAAGCAACTAGCCAAGTCAAGCTTCCTGGAGGATTGGTCCTCGAGAAGGGAGACCGCTGCATGGCGGATCTAGGCTCGATGGTGGACCCCAACGTGTATCCAGATCCTCTTGAGTTTGACGGGTATCGATTCTTCCGAATGCGTGGAGACCCCAAGATGGATAGCAAGTCTCATCTGGTGAGCACATCGGTGTCACACATGGGATTTGGCCACGGTTTGCACGCGTGTCCTGGGAGATTTTTTGCCTCCAACGAGGTCAAGGTTCTCTTATGTCACTTGCTGCAAAAATACGACTGGAAGCTGGACAGCGGATTTGAACACACGATTCACGAGTTCAGTCTCTCCTTATCGTCGGGTAGTACGAAGGCTATTGTAGCGAGGCGACAGAATACGGGGATTGACATTGACGCATTGTGAAGTGGGGAGATTGGTTTGGGATCCGTCGAAGATAACAGTCAGGAACAGAGGGGGTGGCTATTCTAGCTGGACAGTTAAGACAAGCATTTAAAGATACGGGCAACTAAGTATGTGGCATTCATTCTTCGACTACAGCACTCCATCTGTATTGACAAAATGGAGACTTCGCACTTAGTGGAAACCATCTCGTTGGCTAAGCGTGTGTTTTGTTGTTAATATCAATCAGTATTGTTAGTTCAATGGCAAGGGCAGGTTTCTACGATTACGAGCCATACAAACAAGACACAACTGAGGCAGTAGTCGAACGCGTAGCGGCATCAGGTTGCTAGTTGTGTCAATTGCTTCTTCGCTCTCCTCCCGCAAGATCTTTAATTCTCCGAAATTGACCGATCAGAGTGAGGCTCCAAACTTGACAAACTTCTGCGAACGGAGAGCTTCGCTTGTCATGAACCTGTCACGAATCAGCGCAGATAAGACTTCAAATTGTCACAGCCACTCCGTCGTTGCACTATTCCTGGATCTTGTCCCCGCCACCGGGGTTTATGTACGTGATAACGGAGCCATCGTCGCTGCTGCCATCCCATGTGGTAACAGGGATTGACCCTGCCGGTCCTCTGGGCAAGGTAGTCGAGTCATGAGCTATCCCAACGTCCAGGACCGGCCCAAGTTCTCCTTCTGGCTTTTGCCCATTTCACCCCACCAGTTCAATAATTCATCTATACCACGTGGCTAATAGCAATGAGTGCTCCTCGCATTCTACGCATAAAGATGCTATAGCAATCTAATTTTCCAATAATGTGTGGTGGGAGGCCGCTTAGACCTCTTGCTTGCGTCACTGTCCGGTCAATGAATCTGCATCGGGGTTTCTATGAGGAGACCTCCGGGACTTCCAACGGGTCTCCCGGAACCGGCTTCGCATGAAGCCATTGCCAGTTTGGATAATGACGGCCCGGCGGGAGGCTTGACCAAGTTTTTCAAATATTGTCTCGTGGCCCCCTTTATCCCAATGAGAAAGACAAGTTTGCTCTCAGCTTCTCATTCACGGCCCAGTCTTGTCTGCCCAACTCAGACGTCCGCTCTTTGACAACCATGCTGCAACGACTGGTCGTCCTCGCCTCAGCGGTGAGCATTTGCCACGCAACGACTCAGATCGTCACCGGCGCCACTCTTTTCGTTGGAGACTCAACGCCCATCGTGAACACCTCGTACGCCCAGTTCCAAGGCAAGAACGACGACAGAACCGGCACCTCGAACTATCTTGGTAAGCTAACCTTGCTCCTCGCTCTCGGATGCGAAGCCCAGTACTAATTACAGCTGCTGATAGGCATTCCCTATGCTACTGCGGCGCGGTTCAGCCACTCGGTACTAGCCGAGACTGTCGTCTCCGGCGTGCAAAACGTATCAGCCTACGGCGCCGTGTGCCCGCAACACGAGCTCCCCTCCTCCATCGACCCCTCTGTACTGCCCCTGGGCAGTCTCTCCGGCACCCTCGTCGCCGCACTCTCGCAGTCGACCCTGGAGCAGGGCGAGGACTGTCTCTCGATTAACATCCACGTGCCCCAGAACACCAGCAGCACCGCCGGTCTTCCCGTGCTGGTGTGGATCCACGGCGGTGGCTTCGAGGCCGGCGCAGGCGGCTCGCTGATGCAGGCTGATGTCGAGAACCCCGGTGTAGTCTACGAGGCTGCTAATGTGGTTGAGCGTAGTGTCGCCATGGGACAACCCATCATCGTGGCCTCGATCAACTACCGTCTGAACCACTTTGGCTTCAGCGCCTCTGAAGAGCTGGCTACCGCTGGCTTGCTAAACTTAGGCTTTGGTGACCAGCGCAATGCTTTGAGATGGGTCAACAAGCATATCGGATCGTTCGGCGGTGATGCCGACAAGGTCACTATCTGGGGCGAAAGTGCGGGTAGCTGGTCAGTGGCTGCGCATCTTGTAGCCAACGGCGGCGACAACGAGGGCCTCTTCCGGGCGGCGGTCGGCAGCTCTGGTGGTCCGCTCAAGGTTGATGGTCCCGCGAGACAGCAGGAGACCTTTGACTCCCTAGCGAGCTATGTTGGATGTAGTGACGCCGCGGACGTCATCGCCTGCCTGAGAGAAGCCTCATACGACGACATCTACGCGCACATGCAGACAGTACCGTACTTCCTCGGGTACAACAGCTTGGCCTCGTCCTGGACCATCCGCCCCGACGGCGAAGTCTTCACAGACAGCCCTGACAAGCTCGTCAGCGCGGGAGCCATTGCCGACGTTCCTCTGCTCTGGGGTGACATGCGAGATGAAGGCACCCTCTTCTCACTCGTCAACGCCGCCAACACCACCACCGACGACGAAGTAATGGACTACTTCCTGAGAACCTGGTGGCCCAATGCCACCGACGCGCAGCTCGAGCAGATCCTGACGCTGTACCCGGCCAACCAGACGGCCGGTTCGCCGTTCGGTACGGGCGAGAGCAATGCGCTGTACACGCAGTTCAAGCGCATCTCGGCCATCACTGGCGACTACAGCTTTGAGAGCCAGCGTAGGCAGCTTCTTGATGCCGCGCCGGGCACCAAGTGGAACTATCAGGTCGACCAAGCGCTGCCCGCGGCTATACTGGACGGCTCGGCGACGCTGGGCGCGGTCACGGCAGCTGATTATGCCGACGCCAGCGTGCTCGAAGCGATCCCGTATCTTGGAAGCTTCCACGCGAGTGATGTCGTATTGAACTTCTTTGGTACCCTGCCAGCGAACAATTCGCGCCACATGATGGGTACGCTGATTGCGTTCGTCAACAACTTGGATCCCAACAAGCACGACATGAGTGATGTGCCTACTTGGCCGCAATACGAGTCGACTAGCCGGTCAACAATTCTTTGGAGCGAGGCCGGCGCAGAGATTGTGGTTGATGACTATCGCGAAGAGGCGATCGCGTACCTGAATGAGATTGGGGAATCCTTGCGGATCTAAGTCTGCAGCAATGGAAATGATGCGATATCTTATTTTAAATCGTGTCACGTTTATGCGTGTATTTATCTTATAATTCATGAATGATTTTAATGAGAACCGGCCTCACTACTTGATGCTCTTGAGCCAGAGCAAGTATTTCCGGCAGCCTGTGATCCACCACAATTTGTTGTCCATTTCATTTCCAACTGGGTTCACTCTCAGAACAGGGCCTTCATCACTGACCACAAAGGGAAGGAATCATGTTTGAAACTTGTTCTTTGTGAACTCTTAGTATGCTTATACTTACAAGTACATTCATCTACATATTATTACAGAATGAGCCAGTCTCTCATCTTCAAGCTTCATCCGCCCCCTTAGGCGCCTTTTCAGTCTGCACCTCTCTCAAGAACTCTCCGATTCTCGTGGCCACAGCTTGCGCGCTCTCAGTCCAGCCGATAATGGCGCCCATCAGCAGCGTATCATGAACAGCATTCTCCTCGTACGATACTGTGACGCTGCTCTCGGCCTCCTGCATCTGCCGGCACCAGGCAGTACCATCGGTCTCCAGGATCTCGGCCTCACCCATAGACACGAAGATAGGCACCTTGGTTCCCCAGGTGTTGCCAAGCGGCGTCACATACGGCATGTTCTCGTCGGAAACATCGGCCGAATAGACTTTTGCGCCCCAGCGCAAGAACGAGACGGGGAGGTAGTCGGTGCTCCAGTGCTCATGCTGCTTGTACACCGAGTCCGGACCCAAGCTGGCCAAGGGGTTGACCCAGGGGGCGATGAGAACCGCGCAGCTAGGGATGGCAAGTCCAAGGTCCGGTCCGTAAGTGTCGAGGTAGCGCAGCAGCGCGATCACGAGGTTGCCGCCCGCGCTGTCGCCGCAGAGCACGATACGGTTGGATGGGATGTTAAGGGTTCGAGTCAGGTAGAGGTAGCTGGTCAGGACGTCTTGCAGAGCAGCGGGAAACGGGTTCGCAGCCGCCTCGGCACCACTGCCGTAGCCTGACAGCCGGTATTGAGGCGCATAGACGGCGCCGGCGCCGGCCTTTTCGATGAGCGTGTTTGCCATGAAGCCGCAGTATCCCGTGCGGCCGTCACCCAGCACAAAGGCGCCGCCGTGAATCTGCAGAACCACATTGCCTTCGAAGCCCTTCTCGACGTCGGGCTTGGCCGGGAACCAGGTGCCCCCCACGGTAGTGGGCTTCACATCAGGGTTCGAGGCCAGAGGACCGAGGTAGAGATCTGAAGGGAAGGGGTCGGCGGTCTGAAAGCGGTCGCCCTCCTTTCCTGGCTTGAGGGTATGCGTCTCAGTGATGCCCACGTTTGAGTAGAGATCAACGATACTTCGCGTCAAGCGCGCCATGAGGGCCTGTTTGAAGCCCCATTTCGGGTGAGGACGGCAGGAGGGAATCAGGGCCTTGATGGCCCATATCGGCAAGCAGGGGAAAAGAATGAAAAGGGCACCAAAGATCTGATAGAAAATTCGTAGAGGTTGGTAGGAGAGAATAGGGAAGCTCCCCCCTTGAGTGCCGGCCATCGTGAGTGATCGCCGTGTAACTGCGACGTAAGGAAGTGAGTATCTTGGTAGAAAGTTACAGAGTTACAGAGATTTGGAGTGAGTATATGAAAGCCGCGGTATAACTATGTCGATCGATCACCAGGGTCACAAAAGGGGAAGCAATCAGGAGAAGCCCATCACTCGGGTGCGATATACCAACGAGAGGATAACTGCGCTTAATACCTGCCGTGACAGATCGTCAATGATACAGTTCAGGCAGAGTTCGTCTTTCCTTTCCCCATTCGAGAAGGCAATTTGCTGGGGGCAGCAAAAACCCATGAAAACTCTGCATGTTTTTTCTGTTTCCGCAAACCACGATTTCTTCAGAGTTCGCGACTAGAGTCCGGGATCCAGGGGTGAAGCTCGACATTTTGGGGAGTATTCCGTCCTACCTGGGCCTGGTTGACAGGTCGAAGTTCTTCAACACGGCCCCGCTCAGATCCAGTTCTCGATGCACAATCAATCTCGGCCAGACAGCGCTTCACATGAAGCCCGCGATTTGATACCACTTGATAGGGTAGCATTTGGTGATGGTGGACTCTTGGGGGGGCCTTGGCGAGTCATGTCCTTCGTTCGAGTGTGGTGTTGGGGTGGACAGTTGAATGGAGTCTAGTAGTACGGAGAGTGGGCGTCACATGACTCGCAATTCCAAGTAACAAACGTATCCTTGCACCGGCAAGTAGGCCTCTTCAAGGCCGGCAGCTAGGGTAGTATGCGCGGCATTGGCCCGTCTGCGACTTTGCAAACCTACAACGGGCAATTCTCTCGCAGTTTTGTCCCTCGAGCGTGCGACGGCACCACTTTGAGGGCACAGGCATTACGACATGTTTCCAAATTTCGACCATTCTAGACTGATGCTAGACTGATGTCTATCAACGGGGCGCGTCGAGGGGCGCGCCCGGCATCCCAAGGATCGAGGCCGGACTTTGATTCTGCCCCCCTTGAGCCACTAAAGGAGCTTTCATCGTGCATAAACAATAACGCCCACCGATTCTCGCGACTTTCGTCACCTTCCTGCTCTGGTCATCACATTTGACAGTTGTTGGTTGGGTTTGTTGGCGAATCTCCTCTGCTTGACCAGATACACGACTCAGGTCAGACCAGGGACGCTTCATGTTTGAATAAAAAATGGCTTCGACGACGACATCGACGAGCAGCAACGATCCGCATACGGACACGGCAATCATCGCCATCAATGTTGTTCTTGCGGTGATAGCCACCATCACCTGTATTGGACGATTCTGGGCACGAAAGCTCACTGGTTTGGGATGGGGTCTCGACGACTGGCTGGCGTTGGTCAGTCTGATCATTAACCATGCCTTTTGTGCCACGACTATCGAGGCAACAGTCCACGGCGGCTTGGGACGAAGCATCGTTGATGTGATGGCTGAAGACCCAAATCAGCTGATCACGTTCTTGAAGGTTTGATGCAGTTCTTACTCCCTACTGCACTCCGTCAAGCCGTGGAAGACTAACTCTACTGCAGTGCGTTGTCGTCGCCGAGTTCTGCTACGGCTTTTCCTCGCCATTGATCAAGTTGTCCCTGCTGGCCTTCTACTGGCGCGTTTTCCCCACGCCGTTCATGCAAAAGGGCATCTACACGCTCTCGGCGGCATGCCTGGGTTGGCTCATCGCCATCTTGATCACGAACTGCTTGCAGTGCCGCCCACTCGCATACACGTGGGAACAGACGACGAACCCCGGCGCGGGTACCTGCATCGACCTAATTCTCTACTTTGTTGGCAACTCGATCGCCAACAGTCTAATCGACATCCTCACGCTTGTGCTTCCGATCCGCGAGACCATGAAGCTGCAGGTCAGCTCGAGCAAGAGAGTCGGCATCTGCTGCGTTTTCGCGCTAGGCAGTCTGTGAGTAGACCTCGAAAAAAATTTGAATACGCGTCTGTGGGCACGATCTAACAAAGTGAGACAGTGTGGTGGTTGCTAGTCTGGTGCGGTTCGGCTCGTTAGCCTCCCTCTACTCAATAGGCGTAACAGACATGACACGTACGTAAACACCCCATCTTCTTCAACCACGAAACATTTGGCGCTAACTCGTTCAACTATTAGAACAATACGCTCTCATGTGGACCGCCACCGTCGTGGAGATCTACATTGCCATCATCGGCGCTTGCGCCGTCACCCTCGTTCCAGTTTACCGCAGGATCCGTTACGGCACGCCGTGGTCAACCCGGGACCAGAAGTCTAACCAGGTCTCGGGCGGGCCTGCAACCTTCGGAGGCACCGGTGGTAACTCGCGCCCCGGCGTCTCTCACAACTTCAAGCGCTCCGCGAACCACGAGCGTCTGACTACCGGTAACGATTCCGAAGAGTATCTGCACCACGGTAGCAACATGAAGTACTCAGTCTCTGGAGCTACCAGGACTAGCGACAAGCGTGACGTTCTCGGTGAGGACTTGCCCATGGATACCATCGTCGTCCAGAGAGATGTCACGTGGGAAGAAGAGCGAAAGGAGAGGCAGCATGTTTAGGTGTTATTAGATACCATGTAATTTGTTGTATTTTTACTGATGATAGCCTTTTCTTTGTATCTATGAACGCTGAACACGATACCGGTGGAGTAAATTGGAACTCTGAAGATACCTTAGTTTCTTAGATTGCCATAGAACTCGCCTCTAGAATAATCATTTTCGACCCATCTCGAATAGCTTCAAGTTTGCTCCCATATCAATAAGCGATGTGTCTCGCACATTGTCTTGCTCCGCCTGCCTTCAATCATGTGGTGGGACTACATTCACCACTGTCCACAAGCAGAATAACATTTTGACTGTGTCAGATTGGGCATCTTTTTCCCATTCGAGCATGAACATGTGGAGAAAGTTTCAAACCCATGGCCTGAGTCACGTCCGTGCTCTCAAGAGAGTTTTGTTTGTCATCAATTAACGGAGGCCTGTTGTTCCCGATTTCAATATCGGCGGCATCCCGGTGCCGCGTGGTCCACACCCTCGTAGAATGACAGCCAGGGGTCGATTTGATCCCCTGCGATGTTGAGACTCGGACAAGGGGTTTGCAGGAAGCATCGATATTCAGTCGGTTACCAATGCAGAAGCACTCCGAGATGCACTGGATCAGTGATCGTAGACTATACCTAGAGATCGAGATGAGGAGTCGAGGACTCATCTTGGTTCTCATCTTGAAGTGGCATGCAATGCTGAACCTTCATCTGCCGGCCCCTGGTCCGAACTCCGGAGAGTTTTGAGAGGGTTTTCGGAGAAATCAACGCCGGCACGGCGGCGATGACATCCATACACCGCCCAATATCGACCTGAGAGGGGTATTAGCCAGACTCACTCCGTAGTGATCGTCGTCCACGTTGGGCAATACTCCATGGGTATAGATCAAAAGGGGTAAAATGCAATTTGACCTGCCCAGACAACTTATTAACCCAGAAGCCCCCAGTCCGCATACTCAACTCCATCAAGGGTACATGTATGGAGCAACGTTGATCGTCAACGAGAATTTCTTCTTGAGCGTTAGCCATGACTAGTTGAAAGCATGTCCATAGTCTGACGGCCCTGGCTCTATGCTCAATTGGGGTTTAAAGAAGTAACAGAACGGAGCAAGTTCCGTACGTTCCAGACTTCTTTGGCACTTCTCAGGATGATCGCAATCGAGCAGTGAGGGTCCGGAATGTTCGGTGTGTTCGTGACAAGATGGAGGAGTAGATTGAGTTCATTGAATACATCTATCATGCCGCTTGATTTCAAGGGTTCGTGAGCATCATGCAGGAACCAGCTTCATTCTTTTGCTCTCTGCAATGCATTGATTTTGTTCAGTTTCTGTATTATCGGATATCCAACTGACGAGTTGAGCATACTCAACTCCGACCTACATTCCTTGATCACATCTGTCACTCATTCCATCTATTATGTCGTCCAAATGGCTTGGGCTCACGGCCCTCCTTGCGGCATCCCACTCCGCCCTGGTCGCTGCGAAGCCCATCACATCTCGTGAAACCTTGAAGCCCAAGGTCGAGATCAGCTACGCCAATGTAACGGGGCGTGTAAACGGGAACATCCAGGAATTCTTGGGTACGCTGCCATGATTCAAGAGAAACACCAAGAGATTCACCCCGAGTGACATTGCTAACTCGTCCAAGGCATTCCCTTCGCGTCGGCCGGCCGCTTCGAGCACTCGCAGCTCTACACCGGGCAGCTAGGTGACTTCGACGCCAGCGACTACGGCCCAATCTGTCCGCAAAAGACAACGGCTTCGATCCTGACCACTGACTCAAATAGCAGTCTGGTCCTGGGCGAGCTAGGCACGCAAATCGGGCCCGTCGTAGGCGCCCTCGCCGATACAGTCTTCAACCTCATCGGCCGAACCCGCAGCGAGGACTGCCTCCTCATCAACGTCCAGACACCTGTGGGCACCACTAAGGGCGACAAGCTCCCAGTGGTGATTTGGATCCACGGCGGCGGCTATGAGGTCGGCAGCCCCTTCACCGACACCAGCGAGACGGACGTGATCCGCGGCGAGCTGCTCAACTATAACGTCGGCGGCCTTGTCCGGACCTCTGTCGACCTGGGCCAGCCTATCATCGGGGTCTCGGCAAATTACCGCCTCAATGCCTTTGGCTTCTCTGCGTCGCGGGAGATGGAGGAGGCAGGGCTCCTCAACCTCGGTCTCGAGGACCAGCGAGTCGCAATGCAGTGGGTGCAGGAGCACATTGCTGACTTTGGCGGCGACCCTGACCAGGTCGTCATCATGGGTGAGTCGGCTGGTAGCTGGTCCGTCGTTGCGCATCTGCTCTGGGATGAGGGCGAGGGCGCTACTGACTTGTTCCGCGGTGCCATGGCTTTGTCTGGTGGCCCGGTCATGGTTGAGAGTGCTGAGCGAGCCCAGCCTTTCTTCGATAATATGGTCGAAAGGACTGGATGTGCAGGTACATCGGATAAAATTGCTTGTCTGAAGGTTGCCGACTTTGACGATATCATGGCCTCCGTCAACGAAGAGGGAATGCGTAAGTTCACTCTCACTATAAGTCGTGTCTAGATATTGTGCTAATAAGATGCTTCTAACCAGTCCTCGGGCCTCGTTCCCTTGCTTCGACATGGACCCTCCGTCCCGATGGGAAGCATCTCAAGGACTCTCCTCACCGCCTCGCCGCAGCCGGCAAGATGGCCTCGGTGCCACTGATCACTGGAGACATGCGCGACGAGGGCACCCTATTCTCCCTCCTCGCCCAACTCGAGACTCTCTCGGACGAGGACTTTGCCAACTACTTCCAAACAATCTGGTGGCCTAAGGCCTCCGACGCGGACATGGCTGGTCTCATGAAGCTCTATCCCGCCGACATCACCAAAGGCTCCCCCTTTGGTACAGGTATCCTCAACGCCGTCACGCCCAACTTCAAGCGCTTGGCTGCCGTGGTAGGTGACTTCAGCTTCCAGGCGCAACGACGCAACCTTCTGGCACATTACAACGTCTCGGAACAGACTGTATGGAACTATGTCACCGACGTGAGCATCCCGTCGGCAGGCCTGCTGCCGGACCTCGGCGTGTTGACGCACCTGCCTGTGCTGGGATCATTCCATGCTTTCGACGTGTGGTTCTATATGTTTGCCGGTCTGCCATACGCGTTGAGCAAGAATACACAGGCTTACCAGGCTACTGCCATCTCCTTCATTCGCACGCTGGACCCGAACAATCATGGTCTGGACTTTGCTGAGTGGCCGAGGTACTCTGAGGAGGGCTTGGAGACGTACAACTTCAAGGAAAGCGGGCCTGATGTCACTAGGGACGACTGGCGCGTTGAGGCTATGCAGTACATCAACGACCATCCTGACTCTTTTTTGCTTTGAGATCTGTTGATCTAAGTAGATATGCTGTAGAGATGTCTCTGAACTTCGCTTGCAACATATATATCAACTGGTCAAGTATATACGAAGCTACTACAAAGCTATTATGAGCTCACCTGTCCTGGCCTCAGAGATATCTAGACGGTCAAGAATAGGATCCACGTGCATTTAGTATTTAATATATACCATAATTTCGCCAGAGAGCTATCTTCCATCTCGCGATCAGATGATGGGCATGTTATCGTGATCTAACGATCGAAATTTGTCTTTCACTTGTTACATTCAAACTTGTCACGTTCATACCACCACCTGCATACCAAAAAGCATAGTTATTAGGCCAGGAATAGACTTACACTCAATGCACGGAATATTGCACTTTCTGGTTTAAATGATAAATAATCAGGGGCACAACAATAGCTCGAGGGTGCTTTTCAAGATTTAAAGTGTTCGTATGTCAGTTTACTCCCTTTCCAACCCGGCTCAAAGCCGGTTATAGCATTTCGCTCATGGAATTTCAACTAATCGCAAATTCCACTTAGAAGTCAGGCTGCATTTGCATGTAGCCATCAGATAAGGAGTGCCAAGGTAAAGTCTTATTGAAAGTCTATGATTCAGAATTAAAAGTTTTAGGTCTCTTCGAACACACAGTTTGAGTTGTTCACCAAAGGCACACTGAAGTAAGTGAGTCTCAGTGTCAGAGAGCCCATGTGACTAAGCGCGGCACAAACGTCCAATGGAGTCTTCTTGCCACTTATCGCTTCCCACACAAGTCGGGCAGTAAAAGAGCTCACCAGGGTCGTAGTACTCCTTGATACACTGAAGCCTGTTGTAGTTGGCGCCATAGTAATCCACCTTCCAGTCAGGATCAAAAGCATCACCCTCGTTCATGTACGATCCCATGTTCGGAGCCAAGGTCTTCATGGCGCCAATCTTATTGAAGGTGACGTCGTCATGAACCTCCTTGAAGCGAGCATCGCTGACGCCGGGGCTGAGAATACGCGCGACAGATTGGTGCAATACAGCCGTACGCCAGGCGGGAAGAACGGCGGAATATTCCTGAGCTGCGTCGGCCCAAACTTGGCCGCCAGAGACGATGGAGATGACATTTGTGACGTATTCACCCGTCTTTCCGGCGAGGGTCTCAACCAGACCACGGACGTTTGTGAAGTTGCTGACGGCGTCCGTGTCGAGGAGACGAGATCCGGAGGCGGCCATGAGGCCGACGGGGTTGTTATCGGCGCTAACCTCCTCGAAGAAGGTCCAGTAGTCGCCATAAGTTACATAGCTTGAATTCACAAAGAGGGTATCGTTAAACTTGTAAATCTTGTCGAGAAGGCTCTTGCCCGCGGCCTCTGCCTCCTCGGCGGTCTTGTTGAATACGTAGATGGCGTGAGAATATGCCGTGGTGTAGTTGTTGAAGGAAGCAGACTGGCCGTCAACCTGCCAGTGACTGTAGCCGGCGAAACCAGCCTCCACCAATTCCGGGATCGAGCTGTAGAGAGTTGCAAGCGCATCCAGGAAAGCAGTTTTGGAGGTTCCGGTAGGGGCCGCGAACTGGAGGTTCTGAACGGCCACGGTGACCTGCGGGTACGTCTTGACCGTCGTTGACACAACAACACCGTAGGAGCTGGGACCTCCGCCACGGATGGCATAGTACAGATCCTGGTGCTGGCAAGCGTTGACCGTGACAGCAGTGCCGTTGGCAAGGATCAGCTCAGCCTCAAGCACCTGGTCAGCGCCGAGACCGAAAGTATGGCTGGCCGGGCCGTGGCCGCCGCCCTGCATCCAACCCCCCGTGCTGCAGACGGTCGAGCTGCCTCCGCCCACGGCGACGACGTTGTTCTCCTTTGCGGCCGCGTAGCTCTCACCCCACATGTACGCGCCGGCAAGCTTCATGGCGCTGCCGGTCCACATTGACGCTGTGCAGCCGGTGGAGGACTGGAAAGAGGTTTGCGGGGCGATGCCGTTGCGGAAGTAGCGAAGCCAAATCTCCAAGCCGCCAAAGCCGTCGCTGCGGCCGAGAACATCGTGTCCGGTGCTCTTGATCACAACTCTCAGGTTCTTCTCCTCTGCGAACTTGAGGGCAGCGACGATGTCGTCGGTCTCCGTCACGTTGACAGCGTATACGGGATTCGTGCCGATAGTACAAGAGCCTCCTGCGGCGGTCGAGTTCGATGCAGGCTGGACGGGAGGACATGTGATATTCAGGGGATAGTCCAGGCCAACGGGATGTGATGACATCCATTCTCCCTTGTACCAGTCCACCATGACCTTGGCACACAATGTTGCATCATAATCAGGACCTGGGTAACAAGAAATAGCGACCGGCTTGGTCGCGATGAGCTTCCCCGAGAGAGTAGCATTGAACTGCTGCCAGTCACTTGTAGATGGCCAGCAAGCGTCATTAGGTGCCTGTTGCAAGACGCCGTCACAAGCGGCCGTGTGTCAGTCCATCTGAGGCGAATAGTTGGGATGTTGGATCGATTCGTCTTGGCGGGGGCCATAAACTTACACACTTGCATGAACTATTTGTAGCGATGGCACCAAATGCAAAGTTAAGTGCAGAAAGCGCCCGTATCAAGTTGTTTCGTAACATTTTGGATATCTGCCGTGCAGGGTGCCAAGAGCTGCAATGATAAACAAACTTCAAGAAGGTTTTAGTCCCAGATGAGGAGTGTGATATCAAAGAGCTGGGAGATGAACCAAATATAGTCCTGTCGATATTCTCGTTGCCATCTGCGGACAAGTTCTTACCCGCCTGCTAGTCAGGTCATGAGCCATGTTTTTGTGCAAGCTAGGCATTTTTCGATGCCGAACGACCGATTCAAATTTTTGATGCGCCTCATTAGATTGAAGTTATGACGACCACCCGAGTGCTAACACGAAGGCGAAGGCGAGGCCGCGGATCGCGGCCAATGTGCGGACATTGTGCAAGATCATTGATTAGGAGCTAGTGGCTATGGGGGTCGTAATAAGCTCTATGTGTGGCTGAGGACAGGGGACGCGAGAGCGAGGACGAGTCACGAGAGCGAGTTGGCTACTTAGTGACTAACTAAGTAAAGTACGTGGTTTGCATGGAGAAGTGGAAGATTCCCCTACCTTTCATCTCCCTAGCCACTGCTTAAGGATTCGTTCTTATGGGGCACTTCCGAGGTGACTCTTATGTGGCGGTGGTTAAACTCGATGAACTAAGAAACGGATCTTTTTGGACATCTCAATACCAAATGTAGCACCAATTTTGTTCATACGTCACACTGGAACTTACACGACCTGCCAGCATATTAGCAAGACTTCGTACTCAAACCTTCATCGACGAAGAATGGAGGAAAAAATATGCTAAGTGCTCTGATCTAGAAGGACTTCTTCGAGATGAACGTACAACAGGTACACCCAGCTATGAGACAAGATCGAAAGAAACAAGCAGCTAAGATTGCCATCGATTTGAACAACAACTGCGACAAGAATCGTGGAGGCACGGTCCACTGATGAATTGCGATACCCACCAACTGGACCCGCCGAGCGACTCACTCGGCGAAAAGCTCCCATGTACGGTATGCCCCGGAATCCACCCCGGACGGCCTGGGAACCGTTACTGCCCGAAGCCAAGAACGCCACATCGCGGATCGGTGCTTCATATGCCGCCGCCCGCCGCATCGTCTCGCGGACTTAAGTTTCTGCGATCTAGCGACGAGGGGATAAGGGGGCGCAGGGACGAGGCGAGGTGAGCCAAGCTCCTAGCTACTGTGGTACCAAGCTTTAATATGCTTCCCGGCCGACGATAGAGTGCGAGAGCGAGGTATGGGTACAAACTGTCAGCAGCAACAATATAAATAAGCAACGACTACGATTAGGCAGCGTGGCAGCCAAGGGGCTAATCAGCGCATCCCGTACGAAGGTTTATAAAGTCACCTATCCTAAATACTTGACGCTAGCAAGGGGTTACGTTGATTATCTACCGGCGCAGGGCCATACGACGTGATGCCTTTTAGTAGCGCCTACACAGCCCGTCTTTAAATGTACGGAGTAATCCTGAGTCTCTTATTAGTAATTACTGCACTGGCTTGCAAGCGCTGGTTACAATTGAGTTCCGCGACCCCAGGGTTTTTGTGGGGGAGTGCGACGTCAAGCCCAATCTTAATCATGTAAAACAACTGAGAGCGAGACCGAGACCGAGAAACTGAGGGACATTGAGAAACGTTGCAACTCTGTTCACAACCCGGGCCCGGCGCAGTTACGCGAGCACGGCATCGGCCAAAGTCTACGATGCTGTAGTCCGTAACGCTTCATTCACGTGTGGCGTTGCTTCAACAACAACTCGATTAGAGTTGCGAGGCGACATGCCCAGACATGAAGCGAGTACTCTTATCCTAGCAGCATCGCGAAGTCTGAACGTATAACTATTTGGAGTTTCCCATCCGTAATAAGAGACATGGTGCTCTTCACCAACCTCATTTTTCAATCAACTACTATCCTCGAGCATTCATTCAGCGTCTAATTCAAACAACAAGATGTCTATGCCAGCACCCTCCAAGCCCCTTGGGGCCCTTGACTTCAGCTCCGTCAGCTACGGAAATAAGGCCCAGCGCTTTACAGCACAGAGCAACCTCGCGCGGCTGATCCTTGCCGATAAGCTACAGGTAATAACCCCACGAAGAGGTCGACCCATCGGAGGAACCCCCTTTACTAACATAGAAATGACTGGGGTTTAGGCTTTCCAAGAGCTCAACGTACTGGCAAAGATCACCTTTGCCGAAGGCGACTTCACGGACCCCGATCCCGTCTACATCGACGCCCGCTCTAGCCCAGTGAAGCTCCTCGACTTGGCTCCCACCGACGGCGCCGAGCCCGCCTTTGAGCTCACATGGCGCCCGGAACGCTTCGAGGACCTGGCCGAGGGCCGCGATGACCCGCAGACCGCCGTGTTCATGTCGGCCGTCCCCACCAAGGGAGACTACCCCCTGGCCATCCGCTTCGCAGACCTCATCACCCCGAACCCCACGGATGCCCCGACGACAAAGGACGAGCTCAACCTTGACGAGCTACCCAAGCCGACGGAGGATATCGAGCAGGTGAAGCGTGACTTGAGGAAATGGGGGTATGGTCTGATGAAGAACGCACTCACCCCCGAGCAAGTCGCCATTCTCAAGAAGGGCGCCCAAGAGCAGGCTGCCGGCGAGCGTAATGCTGGCGTGGCGACGTTCGATGGCGGCCCAAAGAAGCCCAACCAGCGCATCTGGAATATCTTCAACAAGGGAGAGGAGTTCCTCGACCTGCTGAACCACCCCTTGATCGATGAGGTCGTGCCGTGGTACCTCGGCTGTGACAACCCCCTTTTGTGGTCCTATAACGTAAGCACTATTTCCCATCTAACGAAGAGGGACAAAAGACTAACACCATGACAATAGATCAACATCGCCCGTCCCGGCGGCATGCCCCAGGTCCTCCACTGGGACCAAGGCATCATGGGTCACGGCCGCAACAAGCCCTGCGCCCTCAACATCTCCTGGCTCCTGTGCGACTTCACCGAAAAGAACGGCGGCACCCGCATCTTCCCCGGCTCGCACAACAAGAACGTCCGCCCCCGCAACGTCTTCACCAGCGAGGGCACAATTGCCTGCGAGGCGCCCGCCGGCACCGCCATGATCTTCGAGGGCCGCATCTGGCACGGCACTGGCCGCAACACCGAGACCAGTGGCGAGCGGCCTTGCGTGCTCTCCCTCTTCACCCACCCGGCCGTCCGGCCCAAGGAGAACGCGCTGCTCTCGCTCAGCTGGGAGGCCGAGGACGAGCTCCTCTCGGAGCGCCACAAGTCGCTTGCTGCGCTGAGGACGGGTCAGGCTGGTGTTGGTGGCGCGTTGGGTGAGGCGAGAGAGGGTATTATTGTAAAGCGACCGAGGTCTGATTTCACCACTATCGGTAAGCTGAGAGCGCCGCATGATGATGCGGAGGTGGCCAAGATGATTGAGACTGGATCTCATGCCAACAATGCGCAGTCTGCCGTCCGTGAGGCTGGAGGACTTGACAAATAATTTGGGAGACACATTTTCTTTTACCTTAGTTTCCAAAGAAACGGTTCAGATAGACAGGTTCAGTTTTTGGGAAGGCACTTCAAATAGCAAAATACATGATAGCGATACTTGAGCAATATAAGAACTTCAAATAGTCTGTGAGATGACACTAGCACCATTCAAAATCATGTAACAAGAAATGAATGTCGCATTTACTCATCATCTCACCTCGTCCAAAGCACGGTGCCGGTTTATGGATGCGCACCGCACCAAAATCTGACCGGGACCGAAAGCGCCTCGCTGCACGCTAGGAACAAAAGCGTCATTACTCTATCTGTGGACGAATGTCTGACAAAGACACGGGGATAAACTGGCGATAAGACCATTGGTCCATTGTGTCGTAGTTAGCGTTTAAAGCCGGGCCAAGACCTCACATGTCTCATTCAACCAACTTCATATATCCTTTTCAACTTAAACAACTTCAACGACGGCCTGCGACCCAGTAATATAAGTAAAGTCCTCACTTAGACTACAGCGACTCTCTTGAGAGCTGCCCATTCTCGCGCACATCTACTGAGTCCCCTTCTTTGCAACAGATCTCAACCAAAATCCAATAATGTCGTCAACAAAAGGTCTGGCCCTAGTCACAGGCGCAAACGGCTTCATCGGAGCCCGGACAGTCGAAGCCTATCTTCTAGCCGGCTACTCCGTCCGCGCCGCCGTCAGAACCCAGCGCTCCGCAGACGAGCTCACCGCCGCCCTCCCCTCACAAGTTGCATCGGGTCAGCTGTCCGCGGCCATCGTCCCGGACATCACCGTCCCAGGCGCCTTTGACGAAGCACTCAAAGGCGTCACCTCCGTGGCCCACCTCGCGACACCCGTCAGCTTCATCAACACAAACGTCGAGGAGGTCCTGGGGACTGCCGTGCAGGGCACGCTCGGCATCCTCGAATCGGCGATAAAGGAGACCGGGTTGAAATCCTTTGTGTACATGTCGTCCATTGTGGCCATCCGCGGCTCGAGTCCTAAGTTCCAGGGGCGCGTCGTCTCGGAAGCGGACTGGAACGATGAGGCGGAGGAGATCCTTGAGAAGGCGGGCTCCGAAGCGACGGGCCACCAAATTTACGGCGCCAGTAAGGTCAAGGGAGAGCGTGCTTTCTGGGACTTCAAGGAGAAGAACAAGGACAGGATCAACTTCAGCATGACAGCCGTCAATCCCGTGTGGGTCGCCGGCCCTCCGCTCATTCTCCCCGAGGACCCTAAGAGGCTGAGCGATACCGCCATTATTGCGTATCGCGTCATGAGCGGCGAGGAGGTGCCGCCTGTAGGACCTGGGAATGGGACGCACGTTGACGCTCGTGATGTCGGGCGTCTTATTGTGTTTGCTGCCGATAGACCGGACGTGGCTGATGGGCAGCGCTTCATTGCTGGCGGGAATGGTAACTTTGCCAACATTCAGGCGTATTGCGACCTGTTGAGGAAGGCGTATCCTGAGAGGAGGGATATTATCCAGGAGGGAGAGCCAGGGAAGGGGTATTTGGAAGATTACGGCGAGCCACCTGAGTCACGGAGGGTCGATGCGTCAAAGGCTTCAAAGGCGACTGGACAGGGTTGGATCACGTTCGATCAGATGATTTTGGATGCGGCCAAGGCTTATGAGAGGTATTTCTAAGTGTTTATTTTGGTTCCTTGCTGGACCATAGGACAGATTTTCATACAAAGAGAAAACTTTCGAAGAAGAGGCATGAGCTGCCCTGGTTTTCATAACTTTAGCGGTCTCTCAGTCTCCTTTTATGTAGAGACGCCTTTTTGAAGCCAGGAATTGAACCTAAGCCAGCAGAATCTCTTCTCAGTCCTGAGTTGTGTTTATCAGCCGAAAGCTTCCAAGCGATGATGATATGGCGCAAGTAAAATTCTTACCTCCTCCATCTAGCATGTGCAACCGACGACAGCCACTTCGCAGCAACATCCGTCGCCGCAGGTGTGAGGTTGGTTGGCAGGGCATGACTTGCCATTCCAGACTGAGCAGCTGTTGGCGGCTACACCGTTCGCGGCCATGAGGGCGGCAACGGCAACAAAGAGCGTCTGGAACTGCATTGTGTATGGTTTGGTCGTTTGAGGATTGAATTGTGGTGATTCGGTTGCGTACTATTGCCAGGCAGATATGTCGATGATGCTATTGGTATTATTGTGTCACGAGTTATGGCACACAGCAATGGGTATACGGAGTATAGTAAAATGGCCTAACCTATTAAAATAGAAATAGATAAAAGAGAAAGGTCTATATATAGGATATAAATAAAATATACATAATATAGTACGTAATAGGTACTTTATAAATTATAGTCCCTATCTTTATTACGTAATATACCCCCTAATTACTATTATAAAGGAGCTATTATACCCAAGATAGGACCTCCGAATAGCCTTATAAAGGCCCGATTTAGTCGAGTATAAATAAAAGAAAAATAAACGTAAAAGATATACGTCTTTTAGAGCGCGTTTATTATTAATATCCCCTTTATTTAAAGTAAATAGAATCCTAACTAGGAATAGTACGTAATCTATTACTTCCGGTATATAAATTAATGAGGGCGAGGCTACCTATTTACCTTGTATATATATTCAAAATTTCGTAGCTTTGCTTTACTATTATTTTTTTTCTTCTTTTTAACTTTTTATAGTCGTTATATATACTTTTATTTACTGCGCGCGCACGCTAGTGCCGTCGAATCCTTTATTAATTTTATTCTAGATATAAATATTCAATATATCCACAGTTATTAATAAGTTTTATATAATTTTTATAATATATCCTATATATATATTATATAGTTTATTAAAAATTTAGTTAAATAACGATAGCGACGAGGCCCTTATAGTTAAGTCCTTTCTCTACCCCCGCCGACCTATCCTTTTTATATACTAAGGCCCTATTACTAAGCTCTCCCTCTTTAATTAAAAAGACGTTAAAGCTATTACTAAAAATATTAAAAACTTTAAAGAGTTCGAGGCTCTCCTCGGTAATAAAAACGTAGGTTATAATAAAAATATAGGTAGTTATAAAAGCTTTAATAATAAACTTTTACCTCCCCTATTTCGGAGTCCGAGAGCGAGAGGAGTTTAAAAAAAGGAGGACGATAATAAAAATAAAAATATAGATAACCTATTTTTAAAAAGGGTATATTATATACTATTTTTTTAAGTATTTATATTTAATATTATTTAAATTTTAAAAAGTATAAGCTCGCGCTCCTCTATTAATAAAAAGGCGCTAAGAAATAAAAAAAAGATAAAAAAAAGAGAACGCCGAGAAGTAAAAGTACCCCCGTATAATAAATATAGTTTTTTTCGTTTATAAAGACCTATTTAACGTATACTTAGTCCTAAGAAGCTTAAGGCGAGGCTCCCGAGGACGGATATTTAGTATATACCCTATTTTGGTAGCCCTCTAATATATTAACTATAAAATAGTAGTCTTATTTTATAAGAAGTAGTAGCTAGTATATATACTATTTTAATAACCGTTTAGCTAAAGCTTTATATCGATATACTAATTATTTTATAGCCGATAACCTAAGCTTTTACCGAGGCGATCGTAAGTAGCGTTCCCCCCTTTATAAATATATTATCGTTTTTTATTATTAAGAAGTGCACTCTTAACTATAATTTTAATAAAAAATCGCTAAGCTTTACGGTATTATCTACTAAATAGATAATAATATTAAAAAATATAAGGACTATATCCGCTTCTAAATAAATAACTTCCTCCCCCCGTGTTACGGCCAGCTAGTCGTAGTGAATATATTAATAGAAGTTAAGGCTACGAAAGCTAAGTAAACAGTATCGTAGTCGTAAATAACTTCCCTAAAACTATATTTATAAGTCGTAAAGTAAATAAGGCTTCGGTAATTAATCGTAGTCTTATTAAAAGGGGTTCTTAGTAAAGATAGCTAAAAGCGATCGTAAAATCTAATACTAAGTTAATTACTAAAAAAGCTATAAGAAGTCTATCCTTAAGCCCGGCTCAAGTCTATACTATATATAAATCTCGTTCCTAAACATATCCTTTATCCTACGCGTATTCTATTTATTAATAATTACTAAGTAGATCCTAGTAAGCGCTCACTCAGAGTAATTACTATAATTACCTTATCGCCTAATTACCTTCTTATCTATACATAACTTATTCTATAGTTCTTCCGTTCCTTTAAATAATATATCTATTCTGTCCAATATATATATAATACGCCGTAGCCGCCGCGGGCCTGCGGGGCGGGCCCTAGTTTTAGTTATATACGTTAAGTCGTAATATTAGGTCTCCCTTCTAAAGGTCTAGTCCCATAAACCTATAAATAAATCGATAGGTTCCTTTATCGGTCCGTTTCAATCTTATTTAAAAATATTACTAAAATATCCGCTAATTCCTTAACTCATCGTCGTCTTAAACTAGCTCTTAAAATAAAAGAGCGTAGTTTCGAAATCGCTATACTATACTTATACTATCGCTCGGTTAATTAGAAATACAAAATACTTAAAAGGAAGTCAAAGTACTATAAATACACTCGTCATAGTCGCTCTTACAATACGTCGGTCAGCACAATCTACAATTATAAATCCCTACTATTATTATAGGTTTTCCTATTTTTACTAATATATAAATAATAAATCGTCTTCTAACCGAGGCTAATCGTTTAGAACATAAAGAGGAAGCAGAAAAACTTCTTCTCCATCAGCGGGCAGAGGCCTTACGTCGGGCGCAGGCTAAAATAAATAAATCTTTATCAAAATTAAATCGCCTTCAAAAAGCGAAAAGGATAGTTTTCAAAAAGGGGAGGGCCATCCCTAGTCCTTCTAAAGAGGTAGTTTCTTTTAAAGAATCCGTTATAATATAGGAAGCTCAATCTAGCAGTACCTTCGGCGTAATTAACTAAGATTCTATAATAGCTAGGAATTCTAGTTTTAATTTTAACTTTAATATTCCTTTAAAAACTATTAAAAGTTCTAAAGGTTCGTAACGGGCTCCTATATATTTTCTTTGTATCTATAATTTCTCCATTTAATCAGGAATTCTCGTATTTCGTTCCTAACCCTATAATCAATAATTCGTTCAACTTCGTACTCTAGTTCGTTAAGTTCCACGATAATATAATCTTCTATATATAAACCCTTAAGCACTAGTTCAAAAAGTAAAACATAAAAAACTAAATAACACTTCATTATATCCAGAAGTCTTAGTTCATAATTAACGGGTAAGACTTTCTAAATAATTTCGAAAGGTCTAAGTTTTTTATAATTTAACTTATCGCTTAGTCGTTTTATTTTAATATTATAGTAAAGGAGATAGGCACTATCCCCCTCTTTTAAAGTTAATCCTCTAATCCTTAATCTATCCGCGTTTTTCTTTATACATTAATATATAAATTCAAAGTCCAGAGATACTTTCCTTTAAAGTTCTCTAAGTTTTATAACGTCTACTACTACTTTTACAGCCTATAGTCCTTATCGTATTTCTCTATATACTATTAACTAGAATCCGTAATTAAAGTAAAACAGGGATTCTCTTATACTTTCGCTAACTACACTATTATATACAAATTAGGCTATTAACAACAATACTACCTAGTTATTCTAATCGTAGTTTATATAATAACGGAAGTATATTTCGAGAATCTAGTTAATTTTTTCTATCTACCCATCGGTTTACAGATAAAAAAAGTTAACAGTTTATAATCTATACTAAATTACGAGATTAAGGATCTCTAAAACTTTAAAATAAACAAAGAGCCTCTATTAAACACTATTTCCTTCGGCGTACCGTAATTAATAATAACGACCTTAAAGAACGTATATACTAACTCCTCCGCACTACTAACTTCTTTATAAAGTATAAAATAAGCGAACTTAGTAAGTCAGTCGACTATAACCAAAATACTATCATACCATACATTCGTAAATAGTTCTTTAAACTTTAATAGTTTAACAATAAAGTCCTATAAAATTAATTACTATACTTCCGTTAATAATAATAATAGTTACAGCTCGCTATAAGGCTTATACGGGCTATTCTTACTTTTTTTATAAATCGCACAGTCCTTAATTACTTCTATAATTTTAGCGCGTATAATAGTTTTATTATAATACTATCGGATCCGTTTCTATATTTTAATAACTCCTTAATAACCATATATAGGCGCACTATAAATTTCTATAATAAGTTCAGGGGTCATTCTTCTAGTCGGGCTAGTATTAATCCTTTTAGCTATTATAAAAAGCTTCGTAATTAATATAAAGCTACCGTCTTTTTCTTATTTAAAAATAACTTATATTTCTTCGGGACCGTAACTTTATAATCAGGTCTTCTACTAAGAGCATCCGCTCTACTATTTTCTAAACCTTTCCAATAGATAATTCGGAAATTATACTCAGATAGGAATTCGCTCTATCTAACTTATCGTTTATTTAAGTTCTTATTTATCGTAAAGTTTATAAAGTTCTTATAGTCTATATAAACTATAACTTCGTACTTAGTTCCGGACAACTATAGCTTCCATTCTCAAATACTTCATAATAGCTATTAATTCTTTATTATAGATTTGCTAATTTAATTCTACTCCGTAAAATACTTTAAAATAAAAGTAATATAGGTAAAGTTTCCTTTATTCGTCTCGTTATCTAGAACCGCTCTTATAGCGAAGTTTAAAGCATCGGTCTCGACTTTAAAAGGTTTTCGGGGGTCTAGATTATAATAACTAGTTCGGAAATAACTATATTCTTAACTTTAATAAATACTTTTTAACTTAGGATCCTAAACGAATAGGTTATTTTTCTATATTAAATTATTAAAAGGCTAATAATATTAGCATAGTTTTTAAAAAATCGTTAATAGAAGTTAACGAATCCTAAAAATCCTTATACGTCCTTAACGTTCTATAATATAGGCTAGTCCCTAACTACTTCTACTTTTAATACTTATATATAATTTATCCTAGTATAATAGTATATCTAAAGAAGTCTACTTTCTATATATAGAATTCGTATTTAGAGGGCTCAGCGTATAGTTTAGCGTCTTATAGCTTCTAAAACACTATATAAATATACTTTTTATATATTTCGAGGTCGGGAGAGAAGATAAGAACATCATCAATATAAATAATAATAAAAATATCGACGTACTCCCTAAATACGTAGTTAACTATTATCTAAAAGGTTGCCGGTACGTTAATAAGTCCAAAGGGCATAACTAAATACTCAAAA